GAGGTTGCCCAGGATCGGACATTGTTTCGTTCTGCTGTGCATGGGGTCGCTATGAGTCGGTTCCGACTCAATGGCACCTGACAACAACAACAACAACAATTTTGTACATTAATGACATACTTTTAGTTGTAGCGAACACTGAGGTGTGAGACATGAGTAATGCTGTTTGACCCATGAATCTCAGTGGTTTGGCAACTATGTAATGATGTAGTTGTCTTTGATTTTGTGATCTAATGTGGTCATCCGCTATTTTCACGCAACACCAATTTTCACGTAATGACCTGTTCTTAGGGACCTAACCATGTTGATAAGTGAAGGATGGGTTTATAGAAAAGAATATACTTCGAGAAACAATTTTAACATTTTAGAATGTTTTCATTTTGAATTACTGCTTTTAATCCTAATTTAAATTTTACAAATTGTGATGTGATTTGTTTGTCCTTTCATTTCTTAGCTTGAAGAAACTAATAGGACACTAACTAGTGATGTTGGCAATCTTGCAAATGAGAAAGAAGAACTAAACAACAAATTGAAAGATGCTCAAGAACGTATGTATTGACAGTGCATAAAGTTTATTTTGAATATACCTAACAATTTGTCAATTGCCATAATTACCAAATAATTTCTACATCTTTTTATGTTTCAGAGCTATCAAGGTTGAAAGATGAAGAGATCAGTGCAACAGCTATTAAAGCACAATTTGAGAAGCAGCTGTTAAATGAGAGAACACTGAAGACTCAAGTACGTGTAATAGAATCTGAATATGATTTTGAATGTTTGTTAGTTTATGTCTTTTACATTTCTGCAGTTTGCAAAGTGTAGTCATTGTGTGTTTTGATTTTTATGCATAGTAAGAGTTGCTGATTTTTTTTACCAGATTGGAAGACATTAGACTTGATTAAACAGCATTCAATTTAGCATTTATTAACATTTTTCTTATTTCTTTGTTTAATATATAATCATACTCTAAAATTATTGTTGTAAATTGATGATTCTCTCCCTGCCCTGCTTTTAAGAAACTAACCAGTGACCAATTTATTTGCTAACAGCCTGAACAGTTTTAATCAATCTCAGAAGGCATCTGTGCCTTTTGACTATCAGATGGTTGTTTATCTGAATGCTTATGGTTCCTAGGTGGTCTTTGTTCTTCTGGTGGCAGTGCAGAATTCTTTTCCTCAAGGATAAAGGAAGTTGTTTTGGATTTTAAAAAGTAGACATAATACGAAGTAACATCAGATCAAAACTATGAACATTTTAAATTACAGTTCTCTGAAAACCGAGGGAGAAAGACTATAATGCATTATGGATTGGAGAAGTATGATGAGAAATGAAGGTGGTGTACTGTTAAAACAATGTGGAATGTTTTTTTCTATGACCCTGTGTATAGGGAAGGAGATTATTGGTAGTTGTATAACTTGGTATTGATGAGTTACTTAGAAACCATTGACATAATTCATTTTATTTACTTATTTTTATTATGGTAGAATATATACAGCAAAACATTTACAGTTTCAACCATTTTTGAGTGTGCAGTTTAGTGACATTAATTATATTCACCATGTTGGACCGTTGTGACCAGTCTCTGTTTCCAATGTTTCTTATTACTGTTATCTTTTAAACCAGTATCTTTTAAACAATATATACATATTTTTATGTTTTTAAGGCTGTGAATAAATTGGCTGAGATCATGAATCGAAAAGAACCTGTCAAGCGAGGTAGTGACACAGATGTACGGAGAAAAGAGAAGGAGAATAGAAAGCTACATATGGAACTTAAATCTGAACGTGAAAAATTGACCCAGCAGATGATCAAGTATCAGAAAGAACTGAATGAAATGCAGGCTGTAAGAATGATTTTGGAACTCTAGATTGAAGACTTTTTTAAAGAAGCAGAACTGTTTTTATATCTGTGTATTTCATTTGTTGTAGGACATTTCACAAAAATATTAACTTGATTATTATTATTGAAATGAATAAAAATATGAGAGATATTAGATCTAATTAATTTAATTTAACTTCTTACAGCAAATAGCTGAAGAGAGCCAGATCCGTATTGAACTGCAGATGACACTGGACAGTAAAGACAGTGACATTGAGCAGCTACGGTCACAGCTCCAGGCCCTGCATATTGGTCTAGATAGTTCCAGTATAGGCAGTGGACCAGGGGATACTGAGGCAGATGATGGATTTCCAGGTACAGAATTATTTTTACTCCTGTTTGTTTTGTTAAAAGCCTTATCATAGCTGTAAATCAGTAAATTGTCTTAAACCTTGTGCTGACTGCTCTTGGAGAAAAATGGTTTTCTTTTAGAACAGAATTATTCCTTAGAGTGAGTATTCAGACAACAGTTTGAACTTGCTGATTTTGACAAAAATTTTCATTTAAATAAAAAAAGTATACAAAGAAAACTCTACATATTTAGTTTCTGTAATTAGCTTTTATGTTATAATAGCTCTCTATGCTTTCACTTTATTTTCTCTTAACTTCTTTCTGCATTCTTACTTCCTTTTATGTTGGGTGTTTAGTTCATATCACTCAGTCACACACTATGGAATCCATGTCATTCACCTACCAGCGTTCCTCTACTTCTCTCAATATTGCCACTAAGCCTTCCAGTTCTCACATACTTGTTGACTCTGATTCTGACTCAGAAGACGAACCCTTGCCTTACTTACCCAATTCGCCGGAACCTAATGGTACAGGTGATAATCCTGAAAATGTCTACCTTTCGGCTTTTTCCCCATTCTTGTAATTTCAGTTGTTTTGAGGAATTTTTATAACCTACTAATAGACTCACTAACTCTAACATTTTGCTATTTATGCTCAGTTAAAAATAAACTACTGCATGAACAAGGAATTTGTTTGTAAGATATTTTCACACCACATTGCTATTATAATTGCTAAATAATTTTATAAACTTAAAGAAATTTAGTCATATATTATATAGATTAAGAGTTTGTGATTTCACTGCCCATTTCACCCTTTTCAACCAAGAAAAAATTGTTATTTAAATTATATACTAAGAGTAATAGTGCAGAAAAAGCACATATACTGCTTATGAGGATATGCTTAAGATTTTCATCAAGTCACATTAACATTGTGCTAGGCAATTTATTTATTTATTTTTTTAATAGCTATAAGCAGGAGGACATGATGTGTCCTAGAGTTTGGACTTCTATCTATAGTGATCGAAGTATAGTCTCTGGAGCCAGAGAGGATTACTGTGCAATTTTTTAAGACTTTCCTCATCTAAATTAGAGTCATAATCCCTATTTTTGTGGTTGTTTTGAGGCTTAAAGAGAATTTATATAAAACATCTGCTGTTTCTGGTGTGGCACTGTAGGATCTGCACTGGACTATGGGCCACCAGCTGTTCCTTGGAAACCCTATACAGGGTTGCTGTGAGTTGTGGCAGACTCCATGGCACTTAACAACAGCAACAGCAGCACAGCAGAGACATACAAAACCAAACCCAATCCCACTAAGTCCATTCTAATTCATAGCGACCCAATAGGACAGAATAGATCTACTCCATAGAGTTTCCAAGGCTTGATGATAGTGGGTTTATGTGTATGAAATGGAGATCTCATGTGGCACTGTAGGATAAGCACTGGACTTCTAACCTCAAGGTTGGCAGCTCAAACCCACCATCCACTCCTCAGAAATCCTACCCAGGGTCGCTCGCTATGAGTTAGAATTGACTTGATGGCACTTTAACAACAATCTTTACAGAAGCCGACTGTCTTTTTTTTTTTTTTTTCAAGGAGTGGTTGGTGGGTTTGAACCTCCAACCTTTTGGTTAGCAGTCCAGTGCTTAACCCAGTTGCTACCATGGTTCCTTTTAGATACATTAACTCACTTTTAATGAGTTAGTTCCATCTCTTTGTGACTATGGGTAAGGTTTCTGAGATTATGGATAAATAATCTTTATGAGAGCAGACAGCCTCATCTCTCTCCTGAGGAGTGGCTGGTGGGTTTGAACAGCCAACCTTGTAGTTAGCAGCCCAATGACAAATCCTTGCCACCACCAGGGTTTCTTTTCAGACACATAACCACTGTCTTTGAGTCAATTCCAACTCACAGAGAGTGATGCTAGATAGGATTTCCGAGACTGTAAATCTTTTTGGGAGCAGACAGCCTCGTCTTTTCTTCCCCTGCAGAGCAGAGCACCTGGTGAGTTTGAATGCCTGACTCTGGTTAGCAGCCCATTGTTTATCCTGTAGCACACCAGGGCCCCTTTCCAGGCACATGTTGTTGTTAGAGTGCTGTTAAATCAGTTGAGACTCATTAGCAACTCTGTATAGGGTTTCCCAGGAGTGGCTGGTGGGTTTGAATTGCCAACCTGTGGTTAGTAATCCAGTGATTATCCTATAGCGCCACACCAGGACTCCACATAGTAGATGTTAAATAAGTGGTCTTAGAATAACCTCCCTAAATACTTATTTTAAATACTTACTTCATTAAAAGAAATTGATCAAATGCCATTACAACAAAGTCCAAGGCTTCAGTGTATTTCTCTTGTTGAGTCAGAATTTTATTGATTTTGATATTTTGAAGTATAAAAACATTTTTGTTATATTGCTACCTATGAACTAAATTTGATCTGTAATAATTTTATTTCATTTTAAGTTTGATCTCTTTACACATGTGAATTACTCATTTAAAATGTTTTCTCCTTAAAGAATATGTGTTCTATTTCTATAATTTGTCCTTCTTCCAAAGGAAAAAATTAAGAATTCAGTGCAGTTGTAGCAGTGAGAATAGAACTGCTGCTCTTTTGCTTTTTTTTTTTTTTTTTTTTTCTGCTGAACTTTGCAAGTGCATGAATTTAATCAACAGGACATTTGACTTTGTAAAACTATAGACTATCTGTTGCAGATATAATATAACCTAAATTTTATTTTACATTTTATAACTTATACTGATCCTGTCTTAGATGATGTATAATGGTAATGAAATGGCCTATTAGTTATGTGACTTTTATCATTTCATTAACTTTCTCTAAGGAGAATTACTATATTTATCCTTATTTTTTATGTTTGTTTATAGAATCAAGATTAGAAGGATGGCTATCATTGCCTGTGCGAAACAACACTAAGAAATTTGGATGGGTTAAAAAGGTAATTGGTACTTTCAGATATGGTTCTGTTTTTCCCTTTTGGTTTGCCTCTAGCCATATCACTTTACAATTGTGACTACTAGCACTTTTAAATTTACAAGCTTCTGATTTGGAATGATGTAATTTTATTTACCTTTGTAAAACTCAAGTAATTAGTGTGTTGTTAATAATAAAATAGGTTTTCATATTAGGAAAATAAACGTTTACTGACCTTTGGAGGTTTTGCTGTTTCAGTAGGAAAAGTGCTTTAAATATTAGAAAAAGACCCATTTATTCCTTTATTCTTTTTCCTGTATGACTATGATTATTGCTATTGTTATAACCATTTTTACAAGGTTACTCTTGCTATAGGATTTCAAAGTTAAATCGGTTCAAAAGTATTAGACTTCACTTCACCATTTGCTTATTTATTGCTTAGATATTAGATATTAAAATATCTAACCCTCAATGAGATTGATTGGCACGGTGGCAGCAGCAGTGGGCTCAAGCATAGCAACAATTGTTCAATTGGTGCAGGGCTGGGCAGTGTTTCATTCTGTTATGCATAAATAAGGTACCGACTTGACAACACTTAACAACAACAGAAACCAAAAGTTTTTGTTTTAAGGGATATTTTCCTTAGGATACTTTACATACTTGAAGTATTTAACTTAGGCATTTATATATTTTTATTGTTAATATAGAACTTATTTTCAAAGATAGTATATAATAACTATAATCGTTGTTTGATTTCTTCCCTCCCTGTTTTTAATAGTATGTGATTGTAAGCAGTAAGAAGATCCTTTTCTATGACAGTGAACAGGATAAAGAGCAGTCTAATCCTTACATGGTTTTAGATATAGAGTAAGTATTTTTATTAGAATATTTAGAAATTGTACTTTTTTTCACCTTTTAAAGTGTGATAAGAGAGTAATGTGACTATTTTTTTGACATTTAGTATAAATTTTCATATGAGAACTCATAGTGTAGCTCCTATTATACCATTGACAGTTTCTTATTCTTTGCTTCATACAGATGAAAGTCGGGATGTAGGGTTAGCTATTTCATGGGTCTTTAATGTTTTCTGAAGCTTATTAGAAAATTTCTTATTGGGAATTTCTCAAAATCTCAAGGGATGATTGAAATCCTATATTTGTATGATTGTAAAAGGGGTCAAAGTAAACTTCTAAGTATAGGATATCTAATGTAATTTGATCCTTTGGTAATATTTTACTCCTTTATTAAAAATCTTTTATAGCAAGTTATTTCATGTCCGACCAGTTACACAGACAGATGTATATAGAGCAGATGCTAAAGAAATTCCAAGGATATTCCAGGTAAACATAGGTTTTTTTTTGTTTGTTTTTTCTTTTTCATCTTTAGAGGTCCAAATAGGACAAAGATCCCATTTCTTTATTCTTGGGCCTTCTTTAGATTACCTTTCTGTTTCAGTCACATTTAAAGATGGTTCTTTCTGTGTGTTTGACTTTCATGCTTATTCTGTTTAGTACATCTTCATTCTCCATTTTACTTGTTAAAATAAAGTCTGTAGTTTGTTGATATCATGTTTCTGGTCTCTGCTATCCTTCTTTTCAAGATTAGTTGTAATTTTTAAAATTAAGAACTTTCTCCCTCTGTTTTTGTTTTCATGTTCAGTTCTCTAGAAAGTTCTTTTGTTATTTTTTAAAATAACATATGGTTGCTATGAGTTGGAGTTGACTCAATGATACCTAACAACAAAAAGTTAAATTTTACACTTCATAGATCTTTTACTTCCAATTTAAAATAAGGCCAAATTCTTCTTTTTATTACTTCCATGTTTCAAATTAATCAAACCAACAATTAGGTATTGAGTTTCTTCTGTGTAAAAAGTCATTTGGTCTTGGTGTACTGTGAGGGAATTGATTCTTGTCTTCTGGTTGTTTATAATGTTTATTTGGAGCATATAGCATATCCTTTTACCCTTTTCTTCCCCCATGAGCCCACCAAATGCAAATATTTTAAGTTGGAGATGTGTCTACAATTATCATCTAGTTTTATGTTCTTAAGAATACTAACTAATACAGTTGCCACATTTCCTCAGGAGATTGCTTTGAACAGTTTTCCCCCAGAAAAACTTATCAAGTACAAATTGACCTTTTGCCAACCTATGTTGATAAATGTGCTAAAACATAGTAAAATATAATGGGGGAAATGAGGAACCAGTGTTTGAAAAGAGTTGAGTCTTTTAAGCCAAAGTAACTGTTGAATGACTTTTCTGATATACACTCTTGATTAGGCAGAATCTACTGAAGTTTGAATTTAAATTGTATTTTTTTCTCATTGAATAGTTTAAGTTAATATTATTTACAGTATCATGGTTGTTACTGCATTAAAAAACAGTTGATGTTTGGAAATTATTTATGATTTATTTTGGTATTTATAGATCTTATATGCCAATGAAGGAGAAAGTAAGAAGGAACAAGAATTTCCAGTGGAGCCAGTGGGAGAAAAATCAAATTACATTTGCCATAAGGGACATGAGTTTATTCCTACTCTTTATCATTTCCCAACTAACTGTGAGGCTTGTATGAAGCCCCTGTGGCATATGTTTAAACCTCCTCCTGCTTTAGAGTGTCGTCGCTGCCATATTAAATGTCATAAAGACCACATGGACAAAAAGGAGGAGATTATAGCACCTTGCAAAGGTAAATAGTGAATTACATGCTTCACCAATACAATTTATGTTCAGGCTATTTTGAGCACATTAATTTTTTAAAAAATATTTCTTTATAGTGTATTATGATATTTCAACGGCAAAGAATCTATTGGTATTAGCAAATTCTACAGAAGAGCAGCAGAAGTGGGTTAGTCGGTTGGTAAAGAAGATACCTAAAAAGCCTCCAGCTCCAGACCCATTTGCACGGTCATCTCCTAGAACTTCAATGAAGATACAACAAAACCAGTCTATTAGACGGCCGAGTCGACAGCTTCCTCCAAACAAACCAAGGTAATAAACAAAAACTTTGTAAAAAAAAAAAGTAAAATTCTAAAAATATTTTGTTACTTATATTCATGTTGCAAATTTTTCCTGTTACAATTTTCGTTTGCTTAGTATTATATGGAATACCAAATATTTGAAACTATTTTAGCATGCTTGTGATTGATTTGAATGATGGTAATATAAATTTACTGAGTCACATAAATACATTAAATTCAATAAAAAATATTGAAAGGATCCATTTTTGTGATGATATATTAGGATTTTTGTAAATATTTTGTCTAGTAAATGGGATAAAGACTGCACATACATCTTTTAAGTGTCAGATACATATATTGCATATAATGTTGCAAAGCATTTTATTTTTGGTGGGTTGGGAGACAAAAAGCAATCTTAAGTCTTAATTCAAATCTAAAGACACAATCTTTTGTCTGAATTTGAAAAGTAATATACTGGCATTTTAAAATGCAGATTCTAACTATTAGGCAAAGTAAACATTAGTTGTAATTGAGATGGGAATAATATGAAGTAAGGTCAGGAAAGATCATTCTACACATTGTTAAATGTCATCTAGTCAGATCTGACTCATAGTGACTCTGTATAGAGGTTCTGAGGAACAGCTGGTGGATTTGAACTGCTTACGTTTTGGTTAACAGTCCGGTGCTTATCCTACAACACCACAACAGAAGACTCCTTCTGCACATTATTAGCTAATTTTTAAAAACTGATTTTATTTAAAAATAATATTTTGATATAACTATGTTAAAGTGACTTAATTGAAATATCTTTGGTCAGAATAATCTTTCTTTGTTTATTATTTACTGCAGCATTTAGTCACAAGCATTGCTATTCATAAATGTGAACATGAAGGTTTGTTTAACTCAAGGAGAAGGTATATATTTAGACCAATTGTTGTTGTTAAGTGCCATTGAGTCGGTTCCGACCCATAGCGACCCTGTACAGGGTTTCCGAGAGTATAAATCCTTACGGGAGTAGAAAGCTTCATTTTTCTCCCGCGGAGCGGCTGGTAGTTTCGACCACTGACCTTAAGGTTCACAGCCCAATTTTTAACCACTACGCTACCAGAGTTTCTTCTAATTTTAGGTATTCTTTCTGTTCTTTCGTGTAGGATGACCTTCAGCATAAAAATAATGAAGTGCATTCACATATTATTAGAATCTTGTCATTCTAACAAAAAACACTATATGTACAACTTTCTTGAAATTAATATCTCAAGGAAATCATTTAGATACATCCTCACCTATTTTTATTACGTCAGTTACAAAGGTAGAATTGGCGTTTCAGCAGTGAACCACAAGGTTAGCAGTTCAAACCCATCAGCTGCTCCATGGAAACCCTGTACAGGGTTGGAATTGAATTGACAGCACTTAACAACAATTTATTCTGTATGCCTTAAGCAAAACATGTAATTAGTAAAGTTTTATTAGTATACTAATAAAAATTATGAGATTATTGATGCATAAGTATTTTAATATATGTAGTATATTTCAGCTTCCAAAATGCTTTATTAATATATATTATAGTCTCATTTAATTTCCTTTATTCTCTCATTTGATCTTTAAAATAGTCTTATAAACAGGTATTGTTATTTATTTTCTTATTTATACATCAGAAGGGTAAATTGGTAATTTGTATAGATTCAGGGCTACAAGATGCATTAGAGAGCTCTTCTAACGTATTTTTAAAAGAAACATCATATATATACATATATGTATATACACACACACACACATCTGTTGTTAAATGCCATCAAATCAGTTCTGACCCATAGAGACTCTGTGTAGGGTTTCCAAGGAGCAACTGGTGAGCTTGAACAACTGACCTTGAAATTTAAACTGACTTTGCACTTCAGTGCGTTTACCCACGCCAGGATGCCATATCTATATAATTTGTTGTTAAGTGCTGTCTAGTCGATCTGAGTCATAGTGACCTTGTATAGATTTTCCTAGACTTGTAAATTTTTGTGGGAGTAAAAAGCTTCATATTTCTCCCATGGAGTAGCTGAGGGGCTCAAAGCACCAACCTTGTGGTTTGCAGTCCAGTGCTTATCCTATGGAACCACCTCATTCATATATATATATATTATATATATATAAAATTGTTGTTAAATGCCGTTAAGTCGGTTCCGACCCATAGCAACCCTGTATAGATTTTCCAAGAAGTGGCTGGTGAGCTTGAATCGCCAACCTTTTGGTTCAAACTGACTTTGTAGTCCAGCGCATTAACCCACAGTGCCACCAGTACTCCCATATAGATAAATGTATGTATGATCATACAATCGTACATAGTTGTAAGTCGGCCTGCTAATCTCAAGATCAGCAGTTTGAAACTACCAGTGGTTCTGTGAGAGAAAGATGTTACAAAGACAGAAAATATAGTCAAAGATTAGTAGACTACCTGAAAATTAAAACTTTGTAAATTTTAAAATACCATATATTTGTAATATATATGATAAAAGTGGATTAGTATCTTTTTATAGATAAGAAGGTCTTGTAAATTATTTTTAAAATTATCTCTTCCCAATAAAAAAGTTAGTGCGGTACATGCAGACATTATAATGTAGAAGTTGTTGGTATAAAATGCCATCAAGTTGGTTCCTACTCATAGGTACTCTGTATAGGGTTTCCAAGGAGTGGCTGGTGAGTTTGAACTACCAGCTTTGTGGTTCAAACCGACCTTGTGGTCCAGTGCCACACCAGGACCCTTGTAATACAGATAGGTTGGTCATATTAAAAATATTGACAGCATTTTAAGCAAATTCATATTGAATCAATTTTTAAATTATATTGTAAAATTATTTTTCACATGCCAACCTGGCAAGGATTAAGAGACTCAGTATTGGCAAGATGTAAAGAAATGGGACAATCATATATTTCTGGTACAATTCAAAATTAATGCAACCTTTCATTGTCAATGTTTCACAAGCCTGAAGTATATACCCATTTTATGAGTTTCTCAATCTGTTTTTAAGTACTACAAAAAATGTTATGCACTATAGAAGCATAAAGAGAGTGCTGTGTGGGAACAAAGAAAAGCATGAAGAATTCAACCTGAGGGCGTTAGATATCTCAAAAATTGGAGGATTAATTGTTTTCTACTCAAGCGTAGCAACAGTGGTGTGGTTGGCCCAGGATCAGGCAATGTTTCATTCTGCTGTGCATAAAATCCCCATGAGTAGGTACCGACTTGATGGCACCTAACAATAACAACAAGGCAAAGAAATAAGGAGGAAAACAGCTTTAGGCATAATATGCAGAGTTAATAAGTTGTTAGTGTTATTTGTGTATTTGTAATGTTGTATTGTGAGGCATTACTGGTTTAGTAGTAGAAGTCTCGCTTTCCATACCAGAGACACATGGAATGCACTTCACGTGCAGCCACCATCTGTCTGTCAGTGTTAGCTTGCTTATATGTTGCTATGATCCTGAAAGGTTTTTAGCAGAGCTTCCAGACTAAGACAGACTGGAAAGAATGGTCTAATGATCTACTTTGAAACTCAGCCAGTGAAAACGCTGTGGCTCACAATGATCTGATAGATCTCCAGTGAGTCATAGGGTGGTGCACACCAGGCAGCGTTTTGGTCATTGTTGTATTGGGTTGTTGTTGTTAAGTGCCGTCAAATCAGTTCTGACCTATAGCCACCATGTAGGTCCTGAACTAAAGTACTGCCTCAAAATAAAGAGAAGAAACCAGATTTCAGAAGCAGTTTTTTTGTTGTTGATAATATTTTATTGTGTTTTAGTGAGGGTGTGCACAGCAGTTTAGCTTCCACTCAATAATTTGCACAAATTGTTCAGTGACATTGGCTATTCTTCACAGAGCATGACCTTGCTCAATATTTCCATTCTGGTTGCTCTAGTTTTCCTGCCCCCTTACAGTCCTCATCTTTGTTTTAAAGTAGTTGTTAACCATTTGGTCTCATAGAGATGATTTTATAAAGGAGTACAGTATTCATGGGTGATACTCTATTTTGTGAGCCATCAAAAGGCCTTCTTAAATTGAATGACCAGAATTAGGAATATATTTCAAAGGTTCTGGAAGGGTATGTGTCTTAGCTTTTTGGTGCTCCTATAACAGAAATACCACTAGTGGGTGGCTTTCACAAGTGGAAATTTATTTTCTCAAAGTTTCATAGGCCAGCTTTAGGAGGAAAAGCATTTCATCTCTGTTGACTCTGGAGGAACGTCCTTCAACTTTTACCTCCTGGTTCCTTGGAGATCTCCATGTATCTTGGCATCTATTTTATCCTAATTCTGCTTCTAGCATGCATTTAATCTCTTTTATATCTCAAAAGCAATTGATTGAAGATATACCTTATATTAATTCGGCCTCCTTAACATGACAAAGACAACACATTCCTAAAGAGAGTTATAACCGCAGGCATAGCCGGAAACCAAACCCACTACCATCAAATCAATTTCTACTCATGGCCCCGAGGCTGCAAAGCTTTATGTGAGCAAAAGCTTTCTCTTTCTCCTTGGAGCCGCTGGTGGGTTTAAACCGCTGACCTCGTGAGTCTGCTACAGCACCACCTGGTCTCTTTAACCACAGGCATGTTGTTAAGTGCCATCAAGTTGGTTGTAACCCATAGTGACTGGATAGGGTTTCTGAGGAATGTCTAGTGGGTTTGAACCACCAGCCTTTTTGCTAGCAGTCCAGTGCTTATCCTTCAGCACCAAACCACAGGCATAACAGTTAAAATTTACAACACATATTTCTGGGGGATATAATTAAACTCATAAGCAGTATGAAATGATAGATTTTTCATAAAGTATGCTAAACTTTGAGGCTTAGCTACTGAAGAAGGATTTCTGATCCTGAATTTTTCTCAGTTTCCCCAGCAGTAGCTAAAAGGTATTTTACACCATAAAACTGAGTGCAGTAAAACCTGTGAAATGCTGAAATTTTCCAGAGAAGGAAAACACATAATTTTTCCCTGAGAGTGACTGAAGTGATGAGAAACTGTGACAAGACCCAGAAAAAGAACAAGGTAGTCCCATCAAGTTCTAGTTCTCACAGGTTTTTTTGTCGATATTAATCTATGTTGTTGTTATTAAATACCGTCGAGTCGGTTCCGACCCATAGCGACCCTGAACAGGGTTTCCGAGGCTGTAAATCTTTATGGGAGCAGAAAGCCTCATCTTTCTCCCGCAGAGCAGCTGGTAGTTTCTAACTGCTGACCTTGCGGTTCGCAGCCCAATTCGTAGCCACTACGCTACCAGAATGAATAAGTAACTATATGTAAGTGTGTATGTTTCTGCAAGTACTGTTTGGTATTCATCACATTTTGAAAACAGTAATTAAAGTTGGTTTACTTTTAAATTAGGTGAGTCATCCATCAACCTATTCTATGTCTACCAACTGCATCAGAATTCACTTCAGGTTTTTTATTTTACTTCCACCCCCACCTTAATCCAATTATATCAGAATATCCTGGGGTGGGGCCTGGGAATATGCATTATAAATAACTGAATTTTTATAAGGAGCCCTGTGGAGTGGTGGGTTAATAAGCATTGGGCTGCTAACCACAAGGCAGGCAGTTCAAACCCATTAGCTGCTCTTTAGAAGAAAGATGAGGCTATCTAATTGGCTCCCAGTAACCCTAGAGAACAGTTTACTCTGACCTGTAAACTTGGCATGAGTTGGAACTGATTCCATGGCAGTGGGTTACATTTAAGAACCACTGATTCAGTGATCACAGATGGGAATTTGAGAGGCAGATGAGTTCCTTGTCACAAGTTGATTTATGAACATCACAATTATAAACAATGAAAAGTACTCCTGTGTTTTCCAATAAAAGTTATTGCAAATGGCAATTGAGGTTATTATACTGAGAAAAACCACAAACAAACATAACACAAACAGAAAAAACAAGCATACCTCTGCTCTAAGCCCAATATATTTTTGACTCCCCTTTTATACTCAAGTTTATTCTGGGAAATGTGAACTGACAATTAGGCAGTTTTGTGATGAGAATGCTCATAGGTCTAAAGTCAAACCACACACATCTTCATTGGGAGAAAATTGCAATATGTCTTCTTGTCATCACCTCTCTGATTTTCTGGAAAGCATACCTGGCCAAGGTGATTATATGCATTATCCTTTTATGCGACCATCTTAATTTTAGTCATATTGTTATATATGAAAGGTAAGAAAGTGCTTAGAACACATTAAAAGTATGATTTTTACTACATCATAGCATTAAACTGCAGTCTTTAAATAATGTTAGAGTATAAATTTGCAAACCTCCTATTGCAGATTGCTTGATTTGGCATTTAAAGACTGGGATTGGTCATTTGATGATGTTGATGGTGGTGATGATGATGACGATGTTTTTGATTTCTGAAGAAAATAAATGGGGTAAATCAAAAAATGAGTTGTATTTCCAGGTAGTGCATGTAGTTTGCACTTGGACTTTCATTATATTTTACTAGATTTGAAATTCTGTAAAAAAAATTTTTAGTGTGTCTTTCAAAATTAGATTTTAGGAAGTATCTAACTGGAATTCCTGTCCTAAGTACAAAGTGGAAATGCTATGTTCAGATTCTTTATTGGCTGTAATGTTTAATACACTTGGGCTTTGTTTTTTATTTTAGAAATGAAACTTGTGGAAATAACAAGAGTTAATTCTGGTATTTTCTATTCATTTCTAAGAAGCCATATTGAGAGGAGAAATAAATCTGACAATGTTTTCAACTTATTAGACCTGTACTAGTTTGTGAACATAGCATGGGATTCCTTCTATTTTCTCCCTACTCTCCTTCCTACCCTTTCTTTTCTTCTTCTAACTTTAGAGAATTGAAACTATAAAAACTTTGTAAGTCTAATAAGTGCTGTGCAATAACTATTTCTGATTTGGCTTTCTTTGTGATGTGCGAGATGTGTGTTTTGATAATTTAGTGTTACCCTTACTGAAGAATGCTAGTGATATGTTATAAAAGTTCTTGTACTTTTAGAGATTATAATCTAGTTTGGTTAATAATGACTGAGATTTGAATGAAAGTGAAATCTCATGCATTTAAACCTTTTACATGGGATGTAAGAAGTAATGTTTGTCTTAATGTTGCTAAAGAAATACTTAGATCATAAAATTGGTATCTATTTGTAATCAGATTTCACGGAGTATTTTTTAAGCTTTTTATGTGAATTTGCTTGATAGTTTACAGGGTAGATCATCAGTTCTATATTTATTTAGCAAATCACATTTTATTTCATTACAATGAATATAATCGCCTCCATGTACCATCAGTTAACAGTATTCAGGCAACCTCTGTTCCTTCCCTGCCCCTTTTTATATATTTGTTTAAATGTCCAAAGGGTACATTTTGCAAACCAGCCTTCTGCCCACAGACACACATCCTTTCTCATTCCAAGAGTCTAGAGTCTTCAGCTGCTCTCTCTCTCTATTGCATCTGCTTTCTGGTAGGTCCCATGCTCTGCTCATGCTCTTCCCTCTTGATGGTCCTACGGTGCTTTGTTTCTGGAATGAAAGGTTAACTACTCCCCCCTTTTTGTTTCACTTCTTCTACATTTATAGTTGTGACCATTTCAATTAGTCATGATAATAATTACTATTGAGTCAAAAGAATACCATCATCATTCTCCCCATCCCCAATCACCAGACCCATCTGGACAAGAGAAGAACTTTTCAGTAGAGATTCTATCATACCTCCCTTGTTTTGAAACTAAACACAGTCTTGAAAGCTTGTAACCTGACCACTTTGTGTCTTTATAGCTCCCAGTGTCTTTAAGTTACCTGTCCCTATCAACCCTGTATACTGAGGGGACAGGCTTGTTCCTTGATATGAAGAATCCTTCCCCTCCGGTTGGAATTTTAAACTACATCCATAAGCAAAAGTCCGGTTCATCAAATATAGCAATTTACGCTTGCTTCAAACTTCTTCCTGTGGTTGAGTTCTGATCAGCAACCCATCCAAGCTAGATGGCTACCATCTGCAAGTTTGGGTGCTCTTGTGTGCTTCTCCCTACTTCAGACTCCCTACTGGCTACTTCATTCTCAATTCTAACCCCTAATGGTTACGTCAGTGCCCGTGGGCTCAGAGTTCCCAAGTCTCATCATCTTAAATATATAATATATACATATTTTAATATATTTACTATTACCTTTTTTATATTTATATATATGCCCATTTCATAGATAAGGAAAATGTGCCTTAGTGTCAATTGGTCAACTAGAACTCAATCTGTAAATTAAATGCTCTTTCAATTATATTTGAAAAAGCAGCTAGCATTTGAACCCCAAATCAAGTTTATATTGAGTTGTGTTATTCTGTAACACATTGTTTAACCCTGTTGTTAAGTGCCTTCAAGTCGGTTCCAACTCATAGTGATCCTGTGAAGAGTTTCTAGGAGCGACTGGTAAATTTGAACTGCTGCCCTTGCGATTCAAACTGACCTTGTAGTCCAGTGTATTGTCACATAGTGCCATATCAGGACTCCAGTTTAACAATAATAACTAGTTAATCATAAACTTATTGTAATGTGTGTAGCCAGTGTGATAGGTGCTAAAGTCTTTACATATATTAAGAAAGAATATAATTACATGTACCTAAAAACAGGAAAAGCTTATGCATGATTTTTATATTGAAAGTATTAATTGTTAAATGACAGTATAGTATGCATATGCATGATTTTGATGTTAAATGACAGTGTAATTTAATAATACAGAATCCCTTTTCAAAGAATTTAACTATCTGTTATATCCTAACTTTATTTTTTTCTCTTTTTCTAGCTAACTGCCTTCTATGAATGCAGTCATTACTCAAGGTGATCATATTCTTCCAGTTAAAACAAGACTGATATATATGATGGCCCAAAATTTATTAAAAAGCTATATTTTCCTGAGAGACTTATGTCTATGCACATATTCATATATGTGTTCTCCTTTTGTCTGCGGTATAAATTACACATCTTGGAGAGATTTCTGGACTCCTTTGAAGCAACAAGTTGAACCAACAGTGATTGGTTGATAGAGTAAGGATACCATACGCAGCCCTTCCTAACTGATTTCATAAAGCTCTCTTGGAAGTCACTCACACTACATTGTACAAAAGGATTGAGAATCATGAAAGAAATCATCTTTTCAGCTTCAACAGAAATTTCACCAGCACATTTACCAGAAGAATCTGAGAATGGATATCACTACAGTGATACAGACTACATCTTTAGGAAGTGATCATTATACTGTGTATGTGTACACACACACACACACACACACACAGTACTGTAATACTGCAAGAGGGTTTTTTAAACTTCCCACTTTATTTTTTTACCCATGTATCAGTTGCAACTATGCACTTGTATGAAGCCATAGTGTTGGTTTATATCATTCATTCATGCGGATCTGACAGAAACTGCATGTTAATGTTTAAGCAGTTAATGTAACAAAAGGTTTAAAGTTATTTCAGTTTCCTAATGCTTCATAATAGGTAACTTCACCCATTTTGAATGCCTTAATTTAAAAATCTTTATCAGTCTTAGCCCTTTAGCTGTACTTTAAAACAAACAAACAAAAACACCTCGTGTTTGTTTACTGCTGTTAGAATGCAAATTTGCTTTGTGGAAGAAAGTGCACTATTTTTACACATAATAGTTAGATCAGTGTCAGTCTATTTTGATTGTATAACAATATCTTTTTTTAAATATTGGTCATAGAAACAATAATGGATAGTATTCAAACTAATATATCTTTGATGTATATCTATTATTCCTCCAAACCCCCCTTTTACAGACCTCCATAGTAGTCTGTGATTTAATAAGTTCTATGAAATGTTTTGTTTTGAATTTGCTGGGTATCCTACATGTGTCTTTACTTCTAGTAAAAAGCATTTGTTACTATTTTTAGATTTCATATTCAAATTCAAAAATTGTATCAAATATAAACTAAGACTATAGATAAATTTTAAATATTTAAATGTGATCCTCAAACATGACTGGCAATATTTCAGTATTGGGTAAAGAAAACAAATAACTGGGAAGAAGCAGCCTTAAAGGCGCTTAATTTATATTTTTAAAATGCTTTCAAAGTTACAGTTTATATAGCCCCAGTCCTGCTATATGTCTCATTATACCAGGAAAGTGTGTGTTTAAACCACTACAGTAGGCAGCAATGGTAATTGAGTAAAAGAAAAAAATTGTAGTCTTTCAGTCTCTCTTTATACAAACATAAACAGAATGCAGTAGGATATTGATATGCATCATCCAATATTTCAGTGAAGAAAGTAGACATTTTATTGATTCCTTCTAGTTCAGCATATTATTGTTGTTACATGCTGTCGAGTCGGTTCTGACTTAAGAGCAACCCTATATAGGGTTTCTGGGGAACAGCTGGTTTGAACTGCCAACCTTCGTGGTTCGCAGTCCTATGCTGATCTTATGGCATTGCATCAGGAATTCAGTGTAGAGATGTTAAGAGTTAGATCCCCAATTATAGATATATCATGGAAATGGAAAAGTGGCCAACTGATACAGTGAAGTTGAATTTTGTTTCTCTCCCGTTACCGAATCTGTACTCTTTCAGGCTATCTGTGCTAAGACTAGATAGGTATGTGTGTCATTTCCCTTACAGATAGACAGGTTTCCTGCTGTTCTGGTTCGAGGCACAGCTTTTTCTTTCTTTTTTTTTTTTTTTAAGATTAAAAATGAAAAGTATATAAAATTTATATAGAATAATTATTTCCATTCATTAGACGTGTTAAAAGGAGACTGAATTAATATTTTATATAAAGATTTTGCTACATTATGGGATGTTCTATCCTATTATTCAGAATTGGAGAGTATATATATATATATATATTTTTAATAAACTTTATTAAGATGAAATAATTTGAAGTTTACACATGGGTAATTGAGATGTTTGAGTAAAAAGACAAAGGTTTAAATTTTGAATGCTGTATATATTAGAGAATATGGAGAATCATGATATGATAGAACTATACAAGGAAAATTAATGTGAAGTGTTGTTGTTTTTTTGAGGAGACAAAAGATTTTCTGAGGGGTGAAAAAAATCTCTCCCATGGAGATTCTTCACATTATAGGGTTTGATATAAGGGTTTTATAAGGTTGTTTTGCCAACTAAAGGAAATACGCTTAGTAAAATTTGGGACACTGGGCAAGAATGTGCTTTTTACCCCATTGCTGCTTTCATGTGCATTTCATGTGCATGAGTGCATGCATCTATCCAAATGTTCTCTTCCCAACATTCATTAAATATGATACTGACTCATTTTAACAACCTGATTCTGTGCCAGTTTCTCTCTGTTTTGAGACCCTCAAGTCTCTAAGATAAATCTTTATAAAAGCAAAAGTTGCTCATTTCTTTACACCTGATAACTCCTAGAGCCATAAATACCTCCAATGGAGAAGTAAGAAATAGTGAATACTGGGGATAGGCTTAGATGGATTCTTTACTTATGTATTGTGTGGCTAGCAAGACAGAAGTCAAAGGAAAACTGGTACCAGTATTACTGTTAAAAATTAATGTATTGTAAACATTTTTTAAAAGTATTTAAAATAAACTTGCTATCTAGAAACAATATTTTAAAAATCTTTCTGAAAGCTTAAAATATGCTAGTTAATGAAAGGATACATATACCAATAAATTTCAAATAAAGGTGATAGTGGTGGTGGTTGTGTGCTGTTGAGTTGGTTCCAACTCATACTGATCCTGTGTAGGATTTTTGAAGCTGTATATCTTTATGGAAGCAGAAAGCCTCATCTTTTACCTAAGGAGCCAGCTGGTGGTTTCAAACTGCTGACCTTGCAATTTAGCTGGCCAATGCATAATCCACTATGTCACAAATAAAGATTTATGTTTTTAAAACTAACCTATGCTATTGTAGTTGTTAAGTGCTGTCAAGTTGGTTCTGACCCATAGCGACCCTGTATGTGGTTTCCGAGGAGCGGCTGGTGAGCTTGAACTGCCAGCTTTGCGGTTCAAATGGCTTTGCAGTCTGGCGCATTAACCCACAGCACCACACCAATTATATAAATTTGGTTCTGGAGGATCTACTTTGCGCCAGTTTCTTTATACATTGTAAACAAAATATGGAGTCCTGGTGTGGGACTGTAGGTAAGCATTGGACTGCTACTGCAAGGCTGATAGTTCAAACCCACCAGCTACTCTTCAGAAACCATATACAGGGTTGCTATGAATTGGAACAAACTTGACAGCACTTAACAACAAAAAACTATATAGGTTTTGCCAAACCACAATTTAAGTAGGTTATGCTGCTGTTGTTAATTTATTCTTAGAGGATTCTGGTGGTAAAATAGAGAAACATACATAACTAGCTTAAATCCAAGTCACTTTTGAGTTTCTCAGTCTGTTTTGACATTGCCACTGACTCACCTTTCCTTCCCTGGAATCAGGCTTTGGTTTCCCATTGTTGTGAAGATACCATAGTTGATTGACAAAGCACTTTGAAGGTAGGCACTGTTTAACAGTACTGAATATTATGCTTGGGGGCCTGTCCATTGATTTTCTTCCCAAAAATAATGAATTTTGTTTTGAATTGTAATAAATTATGAACTGCATGGTTTAGATAATCGTAAATAACAGATCAGCTGTTCCTTTCAACAAAAACTTAACCCCTTGGTATTTCTTTTAAAATTTTTGTTGCATCTTTGTAGTAATGTAATTGTATATTATGCCTGCTTTTTATTAAAAAACAATCAAACAAACCATTTTTTTAATAAAAGAAATTAAGACGTAAGTACTTTCATACTTTTCCTGAGAAACAGTCCTGTCCTGGAATGCTACAGTTTTCATAAAGTTTATTATAAAAATATACCCTTCCTAAAAAATGGGTATGGCAAACAAGTCTTATAACCAACCAACAAGTTGTCATCAAATCAGTTCTAACTATGGTGACTCCATGTTGTAAGAGTAGAATTGTGCTCCCTCCATAGTGTTTTCAATGGCTGAGTTGTTGAAGTAGATGGCCAGGTCTTTGTTCTCAGATGCATCTGTGTGAACTGGAGCATTCAGCCTCTTTGTCAGCAGTTGTACTGCCTAGTGACTGAAGCATGGTTTATGTAAAACAGAATTTCAACAAGGAGCCTGTTTGATTGATTTTGGTACGGGACCTACAAACCTAACAATCTTACTTCAGATGCTGAGGATAAGGGGAAGAGTTAGATGCTGTTTTGTAAGGAAAAGTGTGCTGATAGTTTTCTAAAAATAGCATTTTCTCTAGTAATAAAAGGATTGTCTTCTAATCCACTTACTTAGCTAATTGATCTTAGCAAGTTATTCACTCTGAGCCTCAACCTGGTTTTTTTAATCTGTAAAATAGAGATTTTTCCCATATAAGATCATTGCAAGATGAAAAATGATAAATCTATATAAAACAAATGCTTGTCCCCTTTCTGTCCCCAAAGTGAAAAACAGAAAACTCTTCACCTAAGTATATCCTTAAAGAAGTTGCTTTTAAGTAATGAGACTGTATTAGTAACAATGAAAAGAATACTTAAAAAATAAAATATCTGATGGAATAAAAATAAAGTCACATAATTTATATTTATACTTAATGGACAGATTGTAGCTGTATAAAAAAGATTAACATACTTGGAAGTTTAACTGACTTATCACCTACAGAATCAATTATTTTTAGATAACTATTTCTGTTGATCCCAAGTAGTTCTAAAAGGATTGTTGTTGTTATTGTTGTTACGTGCCGTCGAGTCGGTTCCGACCCATAGCGACCCTGTACAGGGTTTCCGAGGGTGTAAATCCTTACGGGAGTAGAAAGCCTCATCTTTCTCCCGCGGAGCAGCTGGTAGTTTCGAACCGCTGACCTTTAAGTTCGCAGCCCGATTCGTAACCACTACGCTATCAGAGCTCCAAAAGGATTAACCAGTTTAAATTTAAAAACTGCCCCTTATATAACTTACATTAAATGATTGACAATATTAAGACTAAACAGAGTTTAAGATATGAAAGTTTATCTTACATAGGACACTAAACATTTACTTACTGCATATAAAAGAATAATGACAGTCCATTACAAGGGGGATATATATGTTTTGAAATGTTAGGGTTTATAGAGTTTTTAAGAGGAAAATTTAGTGACAGTGTACGAAAATCTTAACATGTTTAGAATAAGATTGTATAATGAGCATAAAATGCCTAAGAATTGAGTACAGCCTAGCAATACCCTTGACTGCATATATTTTCAAAGACAAAACCTGGTCTATTATTAAAGCGCCGTCTAGTTGGTTCCAACTCATAGTGACCATATATATAGGGTTTCCAAGGAATGGCTGGTGAGTTTGAACCACCAACCCTGCGGTTGAGTGTTTATCCTAGCAGGCCACACCAGTATTCCAAACCTGGTATAGATCAGCTGTATTTTGTGCCAAATTCCAATAATGATAATTGTGTACCTATGGCTCTTCTAAATGGCAGCACTGTGCTTGAATCAGAATATTTGTTGGGATGGCTTCATTATACATTTACAATTTGTTGTTTTAAAGGACAGTGTGACGTTAAAGACTTGTGGTATGCACATTCAAGTGAAATTAAATTTATGCTTGCCTTGATATTTTTGCTACAGCTTAAAGGAAGGCGCCCTGGTAGGATAAGCACTGGACTGCTAACCTCACGATAGTAGTGCAAATCCAGCAGTCACTTGGCAGGAGAAAGATAAGGCTTTCTGCTCTCCTGAAGGTTTACAGCCTTGGACACCCTAAACAGGGTCCCTATGAGTTAGAATCAACTCAATGGCAATTATTATTCATGTATTTATTTTTGAGCCTAAGAAGATAAAGTTAAGTCAAAAAGTATTGCTATAAAATAGAAACCTTCAACAAAAATATCAAAATGTGAAGCCGTCGTTTCTTAACAAAAACATATTCTTAATCTAGGTATCTATACTTCTGAAGGTGATATTTCCATCTTTTAACTCTTCCCTAACAAATCCTGTATTCTTCAATTTATACCACGTCAAAATCATAGTTTTGGCATTCTCAAGGGACTCAAATCTGGTTCCTTTTCATTGTTTTTTTTTTTTTTTTTTTTTATTTTTAATTTGGGGAAACAAAAAAGTTTAAAGGGGGAGGGTCAAGGCTGTAGATTGGTTGGGGTAAGTTTTCCCAATGAAATTCTCAAGACAACCCTTGGTACCCTTGAAGGATAAGCAGGTGAACTGTTGTGATGAAAAAAATTCTCAATGAAACTTCCCTGGCCTTTTTCTCACCAGTGCAGTTTTCAGTCTTAAAGCTTTTCCCTAGTAAGCCACCATGATGGTCCTGTGTCCTTCAAGAAAATATTTCAAGGTTGTTGTTAGGTACCATCGAGTTGGTCCCCACTTACAGCGACCCTGTATAGGCTTTCTACGAAGTGACTGGTGGGCTAACATTGCCAATCTTGTGATAAGCAGTCCAGTGATTATCCTACAGCGCCACACAACTCCTTATTGCCATGACCTCTGTCTTGAATCTAACTGGTCCAGCAGATCCCTTTGGAAGTCATTGTTTTGATGGTTTGTTTTTTTAAAGGTCTCTAACAAGACCCCTGGTGTAGGATCAGCACTGGACTGCGAACCAGAAGGTCAGCAATTTAAACCCTATATAAGGTTGCTATGAGTTGGAGTCGATTCAAAGGCACTTAACAAGACACACGTTTTACTTACTGAGGGAATCTGTAGCCCTTGGTTGCAAAGGCATGCATAAATGTTTTGTTTGAAATAAACCAGTGCATATATGAACTGGAACCCTAAAAAGCAATACTTTTTTTGACACCGTCATACTATATTATGACATGTGATATGAACATCCTGTTATATCTGTTGCAATTAAGCTTTAGTACCAGAAAATTAACTTTAGTAATTTACAGTTCTGAATCTAAGCATAATCCTCACTTCCATTTATGTTCAATTGTATGGTAAAGCAGAACTAATCTTAAAAGATCTTGAAAACAGAAAAAGATCTACTTAGCTGTTTGGAGGGAACCTAAACGTGGCTGCGGGTCAAAGTGGTCCCAAAATCGGTGCTTAAACTGTTTTCATCAGTCACCAACCTTCTCAAAACTACAGATTTTTGAGCCCTACAACTTGAACTTATTGGCTTCAGTAAGTGGAGAGAGAGAAGAAAGGGGAAAAGTCAACATTTTAAAATCTGTTTCAAGTCTACAAAACCTTCAGCTTCAAAGTTTCTGAAATGCTTGACTAAATTTATTGTGAAGACCTTAATTTAGCAGTGAGCTCTTTTCCTTTGGTTCAGCTGTGGGAAATCCACTTCATGTGTAAGAGAAGATATCCATCACTCAGCCTTTACTGGTGTCTTCCGGTAACGAAGTACTGTAGCTGTTACCCATACATTGAAAGCCAGCATGATCACAAAACGTATAAGAACTGAAATGAGCCCAAAAAGAAATGTATATATTAAAAATAATAATACTGTTCTTACATTACAGAGCAAAATTACCTACTCTCATCAAGTGAAACTTAAGTGTACAGCATGAGAACTTCAATTCTGGCTCCAAATAGTTCTGGGGAAATGATGTAACAATTACCTTTGGCCACTGGGTCTGACTTGGGCAGAGTTCCCAACTCTCAAATGAAGCATACTATTAATCTTTGGAGAAAGATTAAAATACTATCATCTATAACTATTAGAAATCTATCCCTGGCACATAGGCACTTCCAAATAAACCAAAATATTTTCTCTATCATAGCACCCCTTTAAAAACACCAGAACAAGAATGAAGTCAAAACGATTTTTCATTCCCCTGTTTAGAAATCCTTCAGAGGCTTTCCACTGCCTATGGGCAGTTCTAGACTGGATGGTTTGGCCTCTGGTAGCCTTGCCTCCCTCCTCTCACATCACTCACTCCATTACTCTCTGTGTGCTCCACGCCAGCCCTACTGGTGCTCTGTGTCTTGAACTACGTGTCCTATCCTCACGGCCTTAAAACATGCTACTGGTCCATGTCAGCAATCTCTAGATGAAATCTCCAATCAGTCTTAATGTCTTCCTTCAAATTAATGTTCCCATGTCCCTCAAACAAGGTCCGTTTCTCCTATTAGGTGCTAGTCCTGATCTACTCTTGGAAAGCTCATTTCACAATGTAATTCAAGTTAACTGTGTGATTACTTCACTGTCCACTTCCACAGATGGAATGGAGAAAGCTCCCTGAAGGTGGTGGTGTCTACTATCTTGGTTGTACCTATTCATGTACTGCAGGAAGTACTCTGCTGTCAAGGTGATTCCACTGGAGTGACCTACAGGACAGAGTAGAACTGCCTCAAGGTTTCCTAGATCTGATGAAGACTAGGAATGCAATGCTGCTATCCTCTGAGCTTACAAACCAGCAAGAACTAAAGTTGATCTCTTAAATCCTAAGACAACTTACAAACACAGCAATCACAACATAAAACTCAATACGGATCAAATATGTATTTTGCTTACTTGTAAGATCACTGGTGGTCATTAAAGTTGTTATTATTCTTGCTGTAAAAGAAGAGTTTTCAACATTAAATGTCAATTTGCTCCTCAGACATTTTGGTGTTTAGTTAATTAATGTCTTTCCTTTTAAAATACAGTAATATATATCGTCCCTTATGTTACGGAAAGGAGTTCTGGTGTGGTGCTGTGGGCTAATGCGTTAGACTGCAAAGTTGTTTGAATTTCAAGGTTGGTGGGTTCAAGCTCACCAGCTGCTCCCTGGAAACCCAATACACGGTCGCTATGGGTCAGAATCAACTCGGTGGCACTTAACAACATGTTACGGAAAAGGAGCTCTGGTAATGTAGTGGTTACGAGTAGGGCTGCTAACCTTATGGTCAGCAGTTTGAAACTACCAGTGGTTCCATGGGAGAAAGATGAGGGTTTCTGCTCCCATAAGAAATTACGGCTTTGGAAACCCTATGCAGGATTGCTTAGCCAGAAGTCCACAGCACATCACCGCTGCCACCACCATATTACAGGGCTTCAAAAAGTTCAAGGAAAAATGGAATTAAAAGATAATGGTCTGTGAATGTTTTGAAACCCCTTGGTTAAGTTCACTGCTCTTGAGAGGTTTTAGTAATGCAGAAAACTACATAGTACTATATTTCATAAAACATGTATAATTCAACCATGTATCCTAACTCTGGCTTTGAAACTGCTCATAAGAGCAGAAGAAATGGCTAAAAGGTGCTTTGGTGCTGCCCGGAATCCTGGTGTGGCACTGTAGGCTCAGCACTGGACTGCGAATCACAGAGTCGGCAGTTCAAACCCACCAGCTGCTCCTTGGAAATCTTATACAGGGTCACTATGAGTCGGAACCGATTCAACTACACTTAACAACAATAACAAGCTTCCTTCCACCACCTCTGTATGCCAACCCACAACTCCTCTCCTATTCCCAGAAGGCACTCATTACATGTTATACATGTAATGTTATACAGCTTATAAAAGGCTATCACTAATTGTGGGGCAGAGGACATGCACTGGACTACAAACTGCAGGATTGGCAGTTGAAATCTATCAGCTGTTCCTCTGAAACCCTATACAGAATCGCTATGAGTTGGAACCAACTCAACAGCATCACTAATTAAAAACAGATTTAAATCACAGAATTCCATACCTTCTATTTTATTGATCCACCACCATTCGCCTGTCAGTTTGTCATACTATGGTGACGTGTGTGTTCCTGTGGTCCTTGAAGTTATGCCATTGGTGTTTTAAATACCAGGAGGGTCACTCATGATGAACAGGTTTCACCTGAGCTTCCAGACTAAGGCAGATTAGGAAGGAGGAGAAGCAGACTAGAATGTTTAGCCACTGAAAACCTTTGTGAATAGGAGTGGAACATTGTCAGATAGTACCAGCCAGAATATTGTCAGATACAGTACTGGAAGCTGAGTCGATAAGTTGGAAGGCACTCATAATACAACTGGAAAAAGCTGTCTCAGAGTAGAGATGACTGTGGCTAAGGGAATGGAGTAAAGTGTTCAGGACCTTCATATGCTGATGGGGCACAACTCAAAATGAGAAACAGCTATAAGCATCCATTAATGGGAAAAGGAATGTGCGACATATTAATCTAGGAAAATTGGCAACTGTCAAAAATGAAATAGAATGCAAAAACATTGATAGCCTATGCATGAATGAGCTGTATTGGCCATTTTGAATCAAATAATCATGTTTTACCAGGCCAGGAAGAGGGCTGGTGATGCACTCATAAGCAAAAAGAACATTTCAAGATCTGTCTTCAAGTATAACACTGTGATAGGATAATACCCTTAAGCTTATAAGGAAGACTAATACCATTATTACTCAAATTTATACACTGACAAAGTCAGTGATGATGAAACTGAAGAATTCTACCAACTTCTTCAGCCTGAAATTGATGAAACATGCAATCAAGATGTACCGATAATTAATGGTGATTGGAATGCAAAGAAGAAGGACTAGTTGGAAAATAGGGCCTTGGTGATAGAAATAATGCTGGAGATAGCATGATAGAGTTTTACTAGATTAATACCTTCTTAATTGTAAATAACTTTTGCAAACAACATAAAATGAGCTCTGGTACCGTAGTGGTTACGAATCAGTCTGCTAACCTCAAGGTCGGCAGTTTGAAACTACCAGCACTTACACGGGAGAAAGATGAGGCATTCTGCTCCTGAAAAGATTTACAGCCTCAGAAACCCTGTGCAAGGTCACTAAGAGTCCGAACCACTCCACAGTACTTAACAACAACATACACATGGACTTTACCAGAGGGCCTACACAGAAATCAAACTGAATGCATCTGTGAGAAGAGATGATGGAAAAGCAAACATTAACCAAAACAAGGCCAGGGGCAGACTGTGGTACAGATGATCAGTTGCTCATTATTCAAGTTCAGGCTGAAGCTAAAGAAAAGTAAAACAAACCTGTAAGTCAAAATATGACCCTGAACATATCGCAACTGAATGATGAGATCATTTGAAGAACAGATTTGATGCATTACACTAGACTGAAGACCATCAAGAACATTATCCAGGAAGAAAGCAAAAGGCCATTAAGAAAAGAAGCTGAAACCGACGCTGGATTTTGTCTTCCATTCCTTTCACTGTACCTTTCAAACCTAAACCTGAACCTGTCATTCAGTGAATCTCAGCTTTCACCATGGTCCTCAGCGATGCTAACATACAAAAGCAGATTAGGTACATGATGGCATTTATTGAACAAGACGACAATGAGAAGGCAGAAGAAATAAATGGAAAGGCAGAAGAGTTCAACATTGAGAAAGGTCATCTTGTGTAAACCCAAAGACTGAAGATAATATTATGAAAAGAAAGAAAAGCAGACTGAGCAGCAGAAGAAAATGCAGGTGTCTAATCTGGTGACTCAAGCAAGACTGAAAGTCATCAGAGCGAGAGATGACCTTATCATAGACCTACTCAATGAAGCAAAACAGACTCAGCAAGGTGGCAAAAAATACAACCAGGTACCAAGTGCTGCTGGATGGACGGGTCCTCCAGGGTTTGTACCAGCTGCTGCAGCCCTGAGTGACTGCTTGTTGCAGCAAACAGGATTTCCCTCTGGTTAAAGGCTGTGGTGCAAAAAGCAGTCCCTATGTACAAAATCACCACCAAAAAAGATGTTGATGTTCAAATTGATCAGGAGGCTTGCCTGCCTCAGGGCATAGCTGATGGTGTTGAAATTATAATGGGATCATAAAATAAAGGTTTCCAACACTCCAGAAAGCCCCCTGGATCTCATAGCACAGCAGATGATGCCTGAGGTATGGGGAGCCTTAATTGGTGATAACATCAACAGGAAGTTTTTGGACTAAGCATTTTAGAGATGGAGTCCATTCCACTTTACTGATAAGACAGGGGAGTTTCTGATATTTGAAGAACCAAGATTGTCTATGTAACCTCCTCTTTGCTGTTCTAATATTACACTGTATTTATCAGTGGAATACCCTATTGTAGCTAATGCCCCAGACCTAATTGTTACCAATAGGAGTCAATCTCCCTTAAAGCAATCGGGAAGCTACCTCTCGTCCATCTAGAAGAAACACACCATCCCGCTGGTCCTGTGGCATGAAAGGGGAGGGATCAGATGGTGGTTGCATGGACTTTACTCTCCTCTGCTCATTCCAGCCCCAGTTCTCCGGTCTAGAGTGTGTTCTCTGCCTTCAGGTCTGCACTGTAGGTTTACATGCATGTGGGCATGCATTCCTTCCAGCTCTAGTAGCTTCACTCTTACCTTGTTGGGCCTAGAGGGTTGCCTCATCTTTAAATGTGATTTAAAATATAAATCATGAATATGCTGTATTTATTAAAAGAAAGGTTTGTGTAGGAAAAAAAAGGCCATTAAGAAAACAAGAAAGAAGGAAAAGACCAAAATGGATGTCAGAGGAGACTCTAAAACTTGCTCTCCAGCATAGAGATGCTAAAATAAATGGAAGAAATGAGGAGGTAAAAGAGCTGAACAGAAAATTTCAAAGAGCACCTAGAGAAGACAGTCACAAGTATTATAATAAAATATGCAAAGACCTAAGGTTAGAAAACCAAAAGAGAAGAACACACTCAGCATTTCTCAAGCTGAAAGAACTGAAGAAAAAATTCAAGTCTCAACTGAAGGATTCTATGGGCAAAATATTGAATATGCAGAAAGCACCAAAAGAAGATAGAAGGAATATGCAGATTCACGATACCAAAAAAGGAATGGTTGATGTTCAGTAATTTCAAGAGAAAGTATATGATCAAGAGTCAATGGTACTGAAGGAAGAAGTCCAAGGTGCACTGAAGGCATTGGCAAAGAACAAGGAACCAGGAACTGATGGAATACAAATTGAGAACTTTCAAGAAACTGATGCAGCACTGGATGCATTCACTCATCTATGCCAAGAAATCTGGAAGACAGCTATTTGGTCAATTGACTGGAAGATCCATACTTGTGCCCATTCCAAAGAGAGGTGACTCAATGGAACACAGAAATCATCAGACAATATTATTAATATTACATGCAAGTAAAATTTTGCTGAAGGTAATTAAAAAACAACTGCAACAGTACATTGACAGGGAACTGCTAGAGGTTCAAGCTGGATTCAGATAAGGATGTGGAATGAGGGTTAGGAATATGAAAGAAGTCATCAGATGGATCTTAGCTAAAAGCAGAGAATACTGGAAAGATGTTTACCTGTGCTTTACTGACAATGCTTTTGACTATGTGGATCATGACAAGCTATGGACAGCATTGCAAAGAATGGTTATTCCAGAACACTTAATTGTGCTCATATGGGACCTATACATAGACCAACAGGCAGTGGTTCAAACAGAACATAGGGATACTGATGGTTTAAAATCAGGAAAGGTATGCACCAGGGTTGTATTCTTTCACCATACTTACTCAATCTGTATGTGGAGCAAATAATCTGAGAAAATGGATTATATGACGAAGAACATGGTATCAGGATTGAAGGAAGACTGATCAATAACCTGTGATATGCAGATGATATAATATTGCTTGCTGACAGTGAAGAGGATTTGAAATACTTATTGATGAAGATCAGCCTTCGGTATGGGTTACAACTCAATGTAAAGAAAATAAAAATCTTCACAACTTGACCAACAGATAACATCATGATCAGTGGAAAAAAGACTGAAATTGTCAAAGAATTCAAATTACTTGGATCCACTGTCAACACTCATAGAAATAGCCAAGAAATCAAATGACATCTTGCATTAGGCAAAGATACCAGTTTGAGGACTAAGGTGCACCTGACTCAAACCATGGTATTTTGATAGCCTCGATGTGCATGTAAAAGTTGGACAATGAATGTGGAAGACCATAGAAGAATTGATGCATTTGCGTTATGATGTTGGAGGAGAAATATTGACAGTACTGTGGACTGCCAGAAAGACAAATCTGTGTTGGAAGTAGTACAGCCAGAATGTTCCTTAGAAGCCAGGATGGTGGGACTTCATCACTCATACTTCAGACATATAAGGAGGGACCAGTCCCTGGAAAAGGACATCATGCTTGGTAAAGTGGAGGGTCAGTGAAAAAGAGAAGACTCCCCAACAAGATGTATTGGCACAGGGGCAGGAGCAATGGGATCCAGCATTGACAATGAATGTGAGGATGGTTCGGGACCAGGCAGTGTTTCATTCTGTTGTACTTGGGTCACTATGAGTCAGAACCAACTGGATGGCACCTAATAACAATTTTATTGATAGGAAACTCAGGGCCAAAAAGGGGATTGATTTTTTTAAGAGTCTAACTACTGTTAAGTGCCACTGAGTTAAGTGCAGCTGATGGATTTGAACCACTGACATTGTAGTGGGCAGTCCAGTGCATATCCTAGAGTTTCACACCAGTCTAACAATTGCTGTTAAGTGCCATGGAGTTAGTTCTGACTCCAATAACCCTCTAAAGGGTTTCCAAAGATTAGCTCCTGGTTTGAACCACTGACCTTGTAGTTAGCAGTCCAATGCTTATCCTACCTCACCACACCTGGACTCCATTAGCCTAACTAGAACTTGATTAATGCATTTTCCTGGCATAGTACTTCACCTATTAAACACTTAGGACAATGGTCACTTTCACCACCTGTGAGAGACTGGAATTGGGAATTGGAGATCACTTACTAAGTGCAACTCACAGTACGCCTTTCCTAACACCAAACCTATGCTTAACATTGTACATTTACCACAGTAGCTTTTTGGTCCATCTTCCAACTACATTGTTTGCCCCTGAAGTACAAGGACCTGGTCTTAAGAAAAAAATTTTGTTGTCAATTTTGCTAACTCAAAGCAATGTACACAAACTTGTAAATAGTTGTTAATTACATCAACAATTGGGGAACAAATGGATCTTAAGTATATGAGAGGAGACACCATCTAATTTGGAAGGCTGCCAACAAAAGGGTTCTTAGGTAAACTCTTAAAGAAACTTTTAATACATGCTATATGTTAATGACTGACTCCAAGATGAACTAGAACAAGTAAAATGAACTAGGGTAAATTTGCTAAAAATGTACATTTTCTTCATTCTCAATTGATGTAGAAGTTGGTAGCCCACTCTATCATAAAGGAACACTGGATTTAAAATCAGTTTATTTTTTTCTCCCACAAAATTAGTCTCCATTTCATTTATCATCTATTCGGTATATGTGTACTTGTTAAAAAGCCCAGATTACCATACAAAATAGAGTGAAATGTAATCCATGGTATCTGCAGTTAAAAGTTCCCAAGAGGTCCTAAAAGTAACAGTAAGTGACATTTAAAGATTAAGGCTCTCCAAGGTAAATTCGGGAGCTAAATATTAAGTCTAGTTAGCACTTCCAAAAACTATACGTCTTACAACAGCCCTTTATTATTTTAAAGCTGAAAGTAAAACTCAAGGATAAGATATCTAAATAAATTTTGAATAACTTTTTATATAAAGATCAATGATAGTAATTCAGGGTGGAAAAATGGTCCTTTAAGACCTAGAATAACCATGATTTAAAATACCTAAATTTTAAATTAAATTAAACTTAAAATACCTAAAATTAGTAAATGTAACGTGATCTTTATGAATTTATAAAAATGTCTCCTCCTTTATATAGCACATGTATCTTAGATAGCTCTTATAAGAACCCACATAAGCAGTGGAAAGTCTAAAGTTGAGCCCAAAGAGTATCGCTCCAGAAGAACACAGCTACAAATTATATTCATTCTTAAAAGCCAATTTAAAATAAATCAGTGCGATCAGTATATTCAACTTCTTGGTGTTTTTCAAAGAACAGGGAAGGGCAGTTAGTATTAGAGCAGGTTTTTGGAGAGAGGTATGCTTTTACTTTTTGATAAATGGAATACAAATCTTGCATAAAATGAAGAATATTTAGTCTTGTAAATACTTCGGATGTTATATCTCAGTAGCTATTAGCAAAGTTCAAGGAAATCATGGCACTTGGACCTCAGGCCAGCACTGTCTTCCAGGTAGACAGCTGATGCTGACACTAGCTTTGGAGTCTTGCTCTTACTTGCACAGGTGTAAGAAGAGAGGCTCCACGTCAGGGCACTCACAGCTCCCGAGTCCTTTGTCTTCCACAGGTACTGGAGCTGAGCGAACTTACTGGCTGCACTAATGAAGGTACATAAATTCTGTGTGCAGAAGAAATATGAGAAAGTCAGGAGTCTATTTGTTAGAAATACAAAAGAACATCAGACACAGAAAGCACTTTTGAAGCCAAACCTTCAGGTCAAGTAATAACCAACATGTGCGTGGTTGAAATCTTTGGTGAGAAGAGAATGCAACAGTGGGACAGTTATTTATAATGCACTGGTGTGACACTGTACAATAAAGCACTGGGCTGCAAGGTCAGTTTGAACTGCAGTGTCAGTGGTTCAAACCCACCAACTGCTCCTGGGTGCGAGATGCACTTAACAACAATTCCAAATTTGATGTCCTGGCATTGTTGTTGTTGTTGTTAAGTGCCGTTGAGTCGATTCCGACCCATAGCGACCCTGTACAGGGTTTCCGAGGGTGTAAATCTTTACGGGAGTAGAAAGCCTCATCTTTCTCCCGCGGAGCGGCTGGTAGTTTCGAACCACTGACCTTAAGGTTTGCAGCCCGATTCGTAACCACTACGCTACCAGAGCTCCTTCATAGTGCTATAGAATAAGCACTGGACTGACAACTACAAGATTGGCCATTCAAAACCACTAGCCGCCTCAGAAACCCTATCTATACAGGGTCACTATGAGTCGGAACCAAGTCAATGACACTTAACAATTCCAAACTTGGGCACATTCAATTACAACATTTATGAAACATTTTAATGATGAAGGGATCATCTATGGTCCAAGCATTGTGTCTCAGAGGAAGTTGAAAGCAAACTCACTGTCCTCAAAGTATTCAGTCTAGAGAAGAGGGGACAAATGAGTCATCTGGCAACACAGAATTGATACACTTAGTAACAGTGGAACGGACTGAAAACTGAGACCCAGGCAGGTTCTAAAAAGGGGGCATGCTTAAATGTCCAGTAAAGGAAGATATAAATTTAACAAACATGAATATGTTGTTATATATAACAGAAGGAAACACTGCAAGGTTATTTCACCATTGCTATAGTCTACGAATATTTGAGTCCAGAGTTGAAGCTACTGTGGTACCAATTCATCTCACTGAAGATTTTCCTCATTTTCACTGACCAAATTGTTTGTGGTTTTTTGTTGTTTTTTTTTTTGTCTCTCTTTTTCTTTTTTTCCCACCCCCTTCTTTACTTTCTATTTTTTTTTAATTGGTGGGAAAGTTCCCAATGATTTGTCCTGATGATAAAATAGGTGTACATTGTTTCCCTTACAGTATATGAAAAAAGAAGACAAAGAAAGCTATTTCCTTCCCCTTCCCTTTCTTTTTAACTGCCTTCCTTAACATCCAAGTTAGCATGTGTTTATACTCTACTCAGTGAATAATTTTCCATTCCTTCCCACGCCTAGTAACCATCATAGAATGTGTATTACAGAAAGCAACTTTTTACAGTAATAGTCTCATATAATATGTCCCTTTGATACCATCTAATTACATCAGTATAATGTCCTCCAGATTCCTCCATGCTAAGCGGTGTTTTGCAGATTCATCATTATTCTTCAGTGTTGCGTAATATTCCATATTCCATTGTGTGTATGTACCAAAGTTTGTTCAGCCATTCCTCTGCTGATGGGCACCTAGGCTGTCTCCTAGAAATGGCAAGCCTCCTATTCTGTTCTTTTTCAGCAGTGCTTTGTTTATCTGGGGTCTTTTTTCTTTTTGCAACTGTGAATAATGCTACAATGAACATGGTTTGCAAGTATCTATTTGTGGCACAGTTCTTATTTCTTGAGGACATATAACAAGTAGAGAGATTGTTGGGTCATATAGTACTTCTATTTACAACTTTTTGAGAAAGTACCATACTGTTTTTCACAGCAGTTGCTCCATTTTACAGTTCCACAAGCAGTGTAAGATGGTCCCATACTCTCCACACCGTCACCAGCATTTATTTTCCGTGTTTTTCAACTTTGCTAGTAATGCTGGGATAAGATAATATCTCATTGTTGTTCTCTCTCCAATTGCCAGTAATTATGAGCATTTTTTCATTATGTTTGTTGGCTGCAGCAATGTCTTCTCTTGTGAAGCATCTGTTCATGTCCCCAGCCTGTTTTTAATTGAATTATTTATTTTCTTATTGAGGTGTTAAGTGTTATATAAATTTTAAACAGTAATCTGAAATGTCGTCGTGAAAATTTTTTCGCTAATATGTGTGTTCTCTTTTTTACTCCTTCTGTGAAATCTTTTGATGCACTTACATGTTTAATTTTTAGGTGATTTCAGTCATCTATTTTGTCTTCTGCTGTTTACGTGTTTCCAGTTATGTTTGACAGTGTATTTATACCATGAATCAGGGCATGTAAGCTTGTTCCTATGTTTTCACTGATAATCTTTACAGTTCTAGGTTTTACATTTAGGTCTTCAGTCCATGTTGAGTTCATTTTTGTACATGGTGTGAGATATGAGTCTTGTTCTATTCTTCTGCAAATGAATTTCCAGTTTTGCCAGCACCGTTTGTTGAAGAGACTATCTCTTCTTCATTAGTGTTCTGGTCCTCTGTCAAAGATCAACTGAGCATAGGTAGATTAATTTACTTCTGGGTTCTCAATTTTATTCCATTGATTTCTATGGTTTTTGTTTTATCACTACGAGACTGTGTCAGTTAGTGTGGCTATGTAGTAGGTTTTGAGATCAGGAAATGACAGGCCTCCTCTTCTGTTCTTTTTTTCAAAAAGTAATATTTGTTTATCTGGGGTCTCTTTTCTGTCTATATAAAGTTAGTGATTAATTTTTCCATCTCTTTAAAGAATGTTGTTGAACTTGGATTGGGATTGGATTACATATATAAATTGTTTAGGGTAGTGTCAACATTTTCACAATATTATATCTTCCCATTCATGACAAGTTATGGGAAACATTGCAGAGAATGCGTATTCTTAAACAGTTGTGCTCATGATGAACCTTTACTTAGTCAACAGACTGTTGTTTGAACAGAACAAGGGGGCATTGAATGGTTTAAAATTGGGAAAGGTGTGTTCTAAGGTAGTATTCTTTCACTATACTGATTCAGTCTGTATGCTGAGCAAATAATAAATAATCTGAGAAGCTGGATTATATGAAGAAGAACATGGTATCAGGATTGGAGAAAGACTCATTAACAACCTATGATATGCAGATGCTACAACGTTGCTTGCTGAAAGAGAAAAGGACTTAAAACGCTTTCTGATGAAGATCAATGTAAAGAAAACAAAAATTCTCACCAATGGACCAACAAATTACATCAAGATAAATGGAGAAAAGATTGAAGTTGTCAAAGACTTCATTTTGTTCAGATCAACCATCAACACTCATGGAAGCAGCAATCAAGAAATGAAATGACATATTGCATTAGCAAATCTTCTGCACAAGATCTCTTTAAAGTGTTGAAGAGCAAAGATGTAAGTTTGAGGACTAAAGTGCACCTGACCCAAGCCATGGTATTTTCAGTAGCCTCATATGTATGTGCACGTTGAACAATGAATAAGGAAGACAGTAGAACAATTGATGCCTTTGAGTTATGGTGTTGGAGAGGAATTTTAAAGGTACCATGGACTGTCAGAAGAACAAACAAATCTATGTAGGAAGACGTACAACTAGAATGCGCCTTAGAAGCTAAAATGGTCATAGCTCAGACATATTATCAAGAGAGACCAGTTCCTGGAGAAGGATATCATGTTTAGTAGAGTGGAGGGCCCATATAAAAGAGGGAGACTCCCAACGAGATGGGTTGGCACAATGGTAGCAGCAATGATCTTGAGCATAGTAATGATTGTGAGAATGGCACAGGATGAAGAGATAGTTCATTCTGTTGTACATAGGGTCGTTATGGGTTGGAACCAACTTGATGGCTCCTAACAACATCAACATCCACAAGCATGGTATAGTCTTCTATTTTTGTAGGTATCTTTTGATTTCTTGTAGTAGCAGTTTGTAGTTTTCTTTGTATAGGTTTTTTGTGTTTCTGGTTAGATTTATTACTATGTATTTGATCTCTGGTAGCGTAGTGGTTACGAATCGGGCTGCGAACCATAAGGTCAGCGGTTCGAAACTACCAGCCGCTCCGCGGGAGAAAGATGAGGCTTTCTACTCCCGTAAGGATTTACACCCTCGGAAACCCTGTACAGGGTCGCTATGGGTCGGACCCGACTCGACGGCACTTAACAACAACAACAACAATTTGATCTTTTGGGTAGCTATTACAAATGGTATTGCTTTACTGATTTCCTTTTCAGCGCTCTCTTTATTAATATAAAGGAATCCAACTGATTTTTGTATGTTGATCTTGTACCCTGTCACTTTTCTGAATCTTTCAATGACTTCTAATAATTTTTTTTGCTAAAAAATCTTTGGGGAGAGAACAAACAAGATGGCGGATTGGGTGGACGTATAGCAGAGAGCTCCGCCAAAAACAACACAGAATACCTGACCAAGCAGGTTCAGGGGATGGTCCCAGAACTCAGAACCACATGTAAAGGAATACTTAGAAGGTTGGAAGGCTCACAGCTGGGGGAATTTGTGGCAGAAGCAAGAAATCTATTGCTTTCTAGTCTGGGACGCTCGGCTGCTCCAGGAGCCGCCATCTTGGATGAGACCACGTGGGAAAAGGATCAGAGCGGCCACAGACGCCTGGCAGAACCGCTGAGATAAAGGTGTGGATATTCTTTTCTTTTGGTATCTGTTCATTGTTTCCTTGCTGTCTGCACACCTCCATTCGGGTGACTATAGGGGTGCCTGACCTAGTGGGCACCCCAGTCCCACCCACGGAGGGTTCTACTACGCATGTGCACAGATCTCCTCGAAATTTAAAGAGACAGTTTCCAATTAAAAAATCTTTGGGATTTTTTAAGTACAGGATCACGTCATCTGCAAATAGAGTTTTGCTTCTTCTTTTGACAATTTGAATGCCTATAATTTCCCTTTCTTGTCTTATTGCTATGGCTAAGCTTCCCAGCACAATATTGAATAGGACTGATGAAAAAAGACATCCTTGTCTGGTTCCTATTTGCAAGGGGAATGGTTTCAATTTCTCTCCATTGAGAGTGATGTTGGATGTTGGTTTTGTATAGGTGCCCTTAATTATGTTGAGAAAATTTCCTTCTATTTCTATTCTGTTGAGTGTTTTTATCAGAAATGGGTGTTAGATTTTGTCAAATGGCCTTTTCTGCATTGACTAATATAATCATGTAATTTCTTTCCCTTTGTTTTATTTACTTGGTGGATTACATTGATTTTTTTTTCTAATATTGAACCATCCCTGCATATCTGGTGTGTGTGATGTCTTATTTTTTTGATGTTATTGGATTCTGTTGGTTAGAATATGATTGAGAATTTTTGCATCTATGTTGATGAGGGACATTGGTTTATAATTTTCTTTTTGTAGTGATATCTTTGCCTGGTTTTGGTTATCAGGGTATACTTGCTTCCTAAAATGAATTTGGGAGCTGTTCATCCTTTTCTATATTCTGGAATAATTTGAGTAGAATTAGTGTCTGCTCTTCTCTGAATGTTTGGTAAAATTTACCAGTAAAACCATCTGGGCCTGGACGTTCTTTGTTGGGAATATATTGATAACTTGATGAATTTCTTCTATTGTTTTAAGTCTTTTCAAGTTTTCTACATTAGTCTGCATTAATTTAGGTGGATCAGACATTTGTCCATTTCTTCTAGGTTTTCAAAATTTTTGGAGTACAAGTCTTTGTAGTATTCTGCTATTACCCTTTTTATTTCCCTTGGTTCTGTTGTGATATCACCCATACCACTTATTTGTGTTATTTTCATCTTCTCCTCTTTTTTGTTAGATTTGCAATGGTTTGTCATGTTTAATATTCTTTATTAATATGACAATTCAAATGTATCAATTTTTCTTTTGTTTTATTTTTCATAGTCCTTGCTATTAACCAGAAACAGTTCTAACTTTACACTTATTCTCATGATAGTCCTATTAAGTTGTCACAATTAACATTCTCAGAGTCCTGGTGTGGTGCTGAGGGTTAATGCACTGGACTATAATGGTTTGAACTGCAAGGTCGGCGGTTCAAGCTCACCAGTCACTCCTTGGAAACCCTATACAGGGTCACTATGAGTTAAAACCAACTCAATGGCATTTAATAGCAACAACATTCTTATTCTCGTTTTACAGATGAAGACACTAAGGCACAGACAGCTTACATAGCCTCAAAATCATATAACTAGTAGGTGGTTTATAAACCCCAGAAATTCTCAGCTACAACCTTCTAGGAAGTAATTCTAGTGGGTTGCTACTTTAGTGTGAAAGAAAATAAAAACACCTATATGGAATCTAATCCTCTTGAAAAAGAAATAATATTACTACTATAAATAGAAAGGGAGAGATCATGTAATTTACTTTGTACCCACTTAAAACCCATACCTTAAGTAACAAATTAGAGCCAATGAGGTATTTATACAAAATAGAAATTTGTCCCTTCCCTAAGAGTCCTGGTGAGGCGCTGTAGGATAAGCACTGGACTGTAAGGCTGGGTTGAACCACGAAGTCGGCGGTTCAAATTCACCAGCTGCTCCTTGGAAAACTCTATACAGGGTCCCTATGAGACAGAAAGACTCGAAGGCACTTAACAACAAAGAGAAAGAATAAAAGCTGTTTTGTACTACCATGTCAACATTTGAATATGCTAACAGTGTGGGGACAAGCTACCAGAGGCAGATGGGCCAGCAATGGAGTGCAAACCCTCCCTCTCCCCGATAACCTGCTGAGCACCTGCTCTGGACCATTCAGAGACAAAGCAGTCAATGCACAGGTGAATGACAATAGTATGTAAAACTCATGTGATTTTACACATTCCACAAATATTTACTAAGGCCCTATAATGTTACCCGAAATGCTAGTAGTGCAATGATGGAAGGAAAGCCATTTGCCATTCTCAGTGTGGTAGACAAAGCAGGTAATTACTTAACAGTATAAGGAGCCCTAGTATTGTGGTGGATTATGTGTTGGATGCTAAGCGCAAGGTCAGCAGTTCGAATTTACCATTGGTTCCACGGGGGGAAATATGAGGCTTTCTGCTCCCATCAAGATTTACAGGGTCACTATGAGTCAGAACCAACTCAGCTGCAACCACCACCACTTAACAGTGTGGTAAGAGCTTCGATGAGAGGTAGAGTGTGGGCCAGAGCTATATCAGGAATTCAATTTTTTTTGTTCTTACTCTTCATAGAAAGCAGAAGATGAGAATGGAGAAGCACCCATATGGCAGGTGCAAATATTTCCATGAGGTGACTAAGGTAATAAATCCTCAAAGTTCAGTGGCTAAGCAATGGTCTGCAGCTAATTTTAAACTGAGAGTAAGAAAGAATTACTGCATTATTAGTAAGAATGAATTCAATACATTGTTAAAGGACACCACTAATAAAGGCACAGAAGAAACATAAACAAGTGGAAGCTTTTGAGCTTTGGGCAAGAGGCTTCACAAGCCTATACCGGAGTACCTCCAGACACTCCAGATACTGCTGCACCAACACCCTCAATCATACCCCACACAGCCAGGGCCACTCTCCTCACAGCAAAGGCCACGCCCCACCAGCCATGGTCACGCCCCACACAGCCAGGACCACCCCAGGTCCAGTAGGTAGAAACACAACTCAGAAAATCCAGGCCACTTTCCAAGAAAGAGTCACAGCCAAGATGTTGTAAGTTTGGGTGTGACAGGCAGTCACTTCTTGTTGTAAAGTGCCATCAAGTCAGTTCCAACTCATTGGGACCCTGTATAAGGATTCCAAGGAGTAACTGGTGGGTTTGAACTGCTGACCTTGTGGTTCGCAGTCCAATGCTAATTCTACAGTGCCACACCAGGAATCCAGTACCACTAAAAATCTGCAGTTAAACATGTGATCTACAGAGTTTTTTCTGGGGCACATGGCATGGCGAAGAGCAAGAGGACAGACTGCTATTTCATACACTTTCTTTCCAAGGGAAATACTTACCATAGCCAGATCTATAATCCACTTCTGCAGCGTGAGGACGAACCAAGAAGATAAAAACCTTATCAAGTGTTAAGGGAGACAACAATGTAGTCGCTGCCAGTCACACTGCCCTTCCAAGCCCCAAATCTTCCCATCTCATGAAGACAAGCCATGACCACTGAGCCATAAGCCATATGCGTACTTGGGAAAAGACAAATATGGTTCCAAGTGAACATTTGGTTAGAGTTGACAAGAACAGAAGCAGATTATGGAAGGAAAACACAAATAAACCTGTGTTCATGGATTGTACCCTAGTGTTGGGAACATTCCAAACTGCTTTAACTGCTCACTTAATCCCTGATCATGCAGACATTTCTAATTTAATGTGAAAAAAAGTTAAGCACTTCAGAGAAAGGTAGAAATGGTCTGAAAAATTGGTTAAAGTGAAATTCTATGTATTGACTTCTCCCTTCCCTACTAATTGTTGTTGTTGTTAGTGCCATTGAGTCAGTTCCAACCCACAGTGACTCTGTGTAGGGTTTCCAAGGAACAAGTGGTGGTTTTGAACTGCTGACCTTATGGTTTGCAGTCCAGTGCTGATCCTACAGCACCGCACCAGGAGTCGTCCCGACTGCAGCATTGTAAAAATGATACGGATGAGGTGGGCAAAGCTGGGAACTGGGAGCAACCACATTTGATTTTCGACCTCTGAACTAATGGCTTAACTAGGAGCATGCTTTTCACTCTTGACCAAGCCATTGTGAGCCTAGACCCATTCACGAGCAGTAAGCAAGCGAACTCACCAAGTGAGTTGGTAACATTGTGTTAAATTGCCAGTTGCCAGACAAAACCTTTATTATTCAAGTGTTTTGGGAACATTTTGGGGGAGGAGAAAAATGTCACAAATAAACAAAGTTGTATGCTGTTATGCTACGCAGAGGGTGCTTCTAGAGTTTGGCATGTTCAACAGTGAGATACGTCTTCATTCACTTAGCCTGCTAGCCAATTCTAGATTTTGTGAAGAGGGCAGGCTAACAACTCCAAAAGACCCATGCTCCTGCCTTCCCAACTGCCACCGTTGCCCGTCAGTCACCTTTGGTGAGAGGAGAAACCTGGCACTGGAGGGGAGGCCGCTGGCCAGGAACTGTTCTGAAAGCATCTGTGCTCTCTAGAGGTGTATTTGCTAACCTGGTACTTTGCAACTGGGCTTCTTTTTTAGTTAAACCAAAAAATATACACCTAAAGGAGCCTGCTTAGTAATGTCATTGTTAGTAAGTCACACACCCTAATCATATCTCTAAGGAGCACTGCTGGTGGTGTAGGATAAGAACTGCACTACTAACAGTGCAGTTCAAGCCCAGCAGCTGTTCCATGGGAGGAAGATGAGGCTGTCTGCTCCTGTAAAGACTTACACCCTTAGAAGCTTTATAAAGAGTCATTATGAGTTGGAATCGATGTGATGGCAGTAAGTATAGGTTTGGTTCAATCACATCTCTGCTTCTCAGATCCCGAAAGGATACACAGCCATGTATGGAACAGCCTGTTTCACATTCCCATTAAAATGAAAGACACAGAGTAGGAGGATGATATCTGCAAGAGAAAGTATCCACATGAGAGGGAGGAGGGGAGACCCAGGGACAAGTGTATTGAGCCTGAAAGGGTGATTACCTTGTATTATGAGAATGGGGTACTCCAGGTATGTCAGCAGTGGGTAACTGTAGTAATGTTGGTACCTGAGGAACACCAGAAACCTGGGGAAGAGGAAGGCACACATTAACACATACGATCCAATACACAGCATGAAGGTCAGACCAGGCACCCAAGAATACAGATCTATGCAAAATTCTAGATCTGGTGCTATGGGGGCCTGGACATTAAAAGGAGAATGTTGTAGATCTAAAAAGATGGGGTATTAATTTAACAATCTCCACAAGTTTTTCAGACTCCGGTATCTTCTGGGTGCTGCATGCTGGATGTGATGTACATTATCTTCATCATCAAATCACTAGAAAAGGCAATCCTCACTGGGTAAAGTACAGGACCAATGAAACAGAGGCAAACGCTTCGTGAAATGGACGGACGGAATAGCCTCAACAATGGGCTCAAACCTAGCAACAATCAAGAAGATGGTGCAAAACTGGTCAACGTCTCATTCTGTTGTACATAAGGTTACCATGAGGTGGAGCCAACTTGATGGCAAATAATGGTATGGCACTATAGGATCAGCTCCAGACTACAAACCACAGACTCACCAGCTGCTCCTCAGAAACCCTATATAGGGTTGTTTTGAGTCAGAACCAATTCGACAGCATTTCAACAACAATAACACTATGATATTGTGGCTTCATAGGATAAGCACTGGGCTGTGAACCATGGGGCTTTCTGCTCCTGTGAAGATTTAAAGTCTCAGAAACCCTATACAGGTCACTATGAATCATAACCAACTCGACAACACTTAACAACAATAACATCGCCAACTTTCCTTAGTATAATTACTTACAAGAGATGCTTTACAGAGGTCAATTTTTCTGTGACCAGGCTTATAAGTGACCATGGCTTCTAGACCCAGACCAATCTGTCCTCAAAGCTGGGGCCCTGCCCTGGCCACTGCATCTCAAAGAGATGTACTCACTATTTGGTCCCCCTAAGCAAATACAGAGAAAACCCCAAATGGTTAGGTGGAGGAGGGCTCTGAAGACTCCAGGCTCAAGCTTCCCTTAGAACCTGTGCCTTACTCCCCCTACTGAGCCCTGGAACTGCCCCAACACCCCAACTGTGTGGGTCCCTCAGCCCATGAGCTTGGACCATGGGGGACAGGAAAGAAGGAAAGCCCCAATCTTAGGACTTCAACCTGCACTTTACCTTGGAAAAATCTGACCCCTTTGTCCATTAATTTCGACTCAACCAGTTGTAAATTTCTAAGGGAGGAATGGGCAGTGGAAAACATACTTGAACAAAGCAACAGGCTAGGTGAGATTTGCCTCTGACAGATCAAGTTTCTGACAAAGGTGTACAATTTTCGGCTTAGCTGGGGCTGAGCAGAAAGATGGGGTCATATGCCAGGAGGTGGAAGCATGGTAGGGGTTCTGCTCCCAGCAGCACTCTGAACACTATGAAACTTCCCCCAGTCCTCAGCCTCTCTGGGCCTCACCTAGTCGGGCCTCAAAATGTATTGATGAATCAGCTTCTTCCCAAGGATCCTCATCTGCGGTCAGCTGCAGAGAAATTCAAGACTTTCCAGGAGGCTGGTTGGACTCTAGTGGCTGTGTGGTTGGCCATCTCCCCGGTTTAAAGTACAAGCAAGTGTTTTTGCCCAGCTCCTGCCCTGCCTCCTGAGCAACACCTTTCTATTCAAATGCCAGTGAGGGCCCTGAAGGGCTGGGGGTGGGGTGGGTACATCCCACCCACTTCTGCTGAGTAAGCACTGGAGGAAAGAATGAGTGGGAGGACTCTGAGAGTTGCCAGAAGAAGGTTGTGGAGCCTTCCTCATGATAGTGGGTTGAAATTGTTAAGTGCCATCGAGTGGGTTCTGACTCATAGCAACCCAGTATAGGGTTTCCAGGACTGAACATCTTTACAGGAGCGGAAAGTCTCATCTCTCTTCTTAGGAGAGGCTGGTAGGCTCAAACCACTGACCTTGTAGATAGCAGTCCAGTGTTTATCCTACAGAACCACAGCACTTCCTCTGACCCCCAAATTCATGTACTCCCAGAACTCTAGGGCGTAACCTTATTTAGAAATGAGGTCTTTGCAGATGTAATTAGTTAAGATGAGGTCTTGGACTAGGGTAGGGTCTACTACCAGTAACTTATAAAAGAAGAGACACATACAGACATATAGTGCAAGCACTATGCTATAAGCCAGGGGACGTCAAGGACTGCCGAAAACCACAGAAGTTAAGAGAGAGGCATGGAACAGATTGTCCCTCAGACTCTGAGGAAGTACTGACCTTGCTGAGAATTGAACTTGAACTCCTGGCCTCCTGAACTAGGAGAAAATAAATTCAGTTGTTTCATGTATGGCGTTGTTATTAAGTGCCGTCTAGTGGGTTTCGACTCTTAACGAACCTTTATAGGGTTTCCAAGGAGTGACTGGTGAGCTTGAACTGCCAACCTTGTGCTTCAAACCGACCTTGCAGTCCAGTGCTGTATCCCACAGCACCACACCAGGACTCCATATCTTGTTTGTTGTTGTTGTGAGGTGCCATCGAGTCAGTTCTGACTCATAGCGACACTGTATAGGGTTTCCGAGGAGCAGCTAGTAAGTTTGAACTGCAGATCTTGTGCTTCAACCAACCTTGCAGTCCAGTGCTTATCCTACAGCACGACACCATCATATACAGTTTGGACTGTATATGAGAACATCAAAATCCAGTAATTTCAGGAAGTGGGGAGGAGTCAGAACAGAAAGAACTAGGATCCCAGTAAGACCACAGCCTAACTACAGCAGGTGAGCTTGGCTGGGCAAGTTACTTCACCCCCTGGATTGTTGTGAGAAAAAAAAAGATGCAGTGTCTAATTCACAGTGATTACCACAAATAGATCCTTGAACCGGGGGAAATAAGGCTAGCGTGCAGCAGTAGAAGACTGGTGCCGATTGTGTCTAGTATACTACATACACCCTGCCAGCTCCCTGTATCGTCTCCACTGCCTATATTCCCACCCTTTTTGCTCCATTACTCTAGCCCTTTGGTAACGCATGGGACAAAGAGTTTACACCTACTGCTGTACAATCAGCCTCATTATCTCCAGCTCAAGGATCCATGAATTGATTGAGTCGCTGTGATGCTGGAAGCTATGCCATGGGTATTTTAAATACCAACAGGGTCACCCATGGTGGACAGGTTTCAGCTGAACTTCTTGACTAAGACAGACTAGGAAGAAGGAGAGGAAGACTACTTCCACATGTTTAGCCACTGAAAACCTTAAGAATAGCAGTGGAACACTGTCAGATAGAACCAGAACATTTAATATCAAAGCATGGTGAACAGCACCAGAATACGGTGTCAGATACACTGTCAGAAGATGAGTCCCTCAGGTTGGAAGGCACGCAAAATCAACAACGGGATGAAGTGTAACAATGATTGTGCGGTTGGTGCAGGACTGGAATTGTTTCATTCTGTTGTGCATAATAAGGTCACTATGACAAAGAGTCAGTACCAACTCCATGGTACCTAACCACAACAAGCCCCTCCCCTGATTTGATTTCCATACCCTTGGAGATGGACCCCAGCCCACTCTCACCTCCCCTTAAGCAAGCACTGAGCCTTCTTGTCTATTTCCTTTGTCCTAGTTTCTCCATTCCCAGTCGGAAAGGTGCTCCAACCTGAAATGAAATGCTGCGTGCCCATCCAGGGACCTGGCTCCTTCCACTTTTCACTTCAACCAGACTACTAGGAGTCTCCAGGGCAGGGTCATTTACAAACCCCTAAGAATTACTCTAAATTAGCCCTCAATTACTGCCAAGCCCTTCCAGAAAGGCTCTCCTTAAAGCCTCACTGAAGGAGTTGCTCAGGGAGGTCCTACAGACCTCTCCCTCCTTTCACACTCCACTCTCTTTCTCCACTTTTCTTGGCCTCTTTCTCTTCCAGGATGCTAGGGTCTAGCCAAGCACCGTGAAAGGGAAAGCATCAAAAGTTATTGAAACATGGAATTAAAAGATGGAATTTTTCCAAGACCAGCCTTCCGAAGCCCAAGGAAGACTTGCTGCCAAGGACTTCCAGGGTTAAGACTGCTGTATTTCATGTCCTGTGCTTATCACCGAATTCCAGTTGTACCAACACAAATTTGGGACACTCACTCTGAGTTTCTGATAAACTACCTCAACCTATGAACACTCTAGCTCTCTCTGCTAATTGTTCGACTTAGCCCATCTTTCAAGACCCAGTTCACGCCCCCTCTTCACCCTCCACATATTTTTCTATGACTCCAAAGGAAGCCACAAGATCCTTAGAAATCATTGTTAAAACTTTCATTTTGCAAGTGAGGAAACCAAAGCCCAAAGGGATGGTGGATATAAGCGATTCTGTAATTGCAAACACTACCGCTGGTTTTGTCACTAATGGACCAGAAGTCTCAGTTCCCTTATCTGTAAAATGGGCGTGCTCACTCAGTACCACACAAGATTTTGTTGTGAGGTGTCGTGCAGTTGGTACTGACTCAGCTATCCTATCCACAATATAACGAAACACTGCTGACTACTGAGACATTTCTCACAATTCTTAACATTTGAGCTCATTGTGGCTTGGTGAACTTCAAATAGAGTGGAGAACAGTCCTGAGACTACAGCTCCAACGCGCTCCGCCCAGCTATCAAGCCGGCGCTCAAGGATCTTCCCCAAGCCTATTCCGTATTAGCCCTCGGAGCTCTCTCTCACTCCCAGAACTTTCTTTGCCGAAAACCGAAGGAGGAAGGGCAGCTGCCCCGGCCTCCTCGGGCCTTACCCGGCCAGCTCCAGAAGTAAACTCGGGAGGCTGATGCCCTGCGCGCTGCGCGCAGCCAGCAAGGCAGCGATTTGCGGTAGCTTGAGCGCGGCGCACACGACTAGCGTGCTCCAGTTGCAGAACCACAACAGTCCGGTCTCCATAGCGCCAGCGGGGCTCTCGGGACGCGGGGGTTCAGCCGCTGTAGGAATGGAAGCCGCTCAGCCCACACCCTCCGCGAGCACAGTCGAGGCCTTCCGCCTTCCCCAGCCTCCCGCCGCGGCCCAGCCCCGTGGTCCTGCCTGGCTCGCCCCACCCCAGTCCCGCCCGCTGCTGATTCACTTTTCCGGGACCCACCCACCAGCGCCGGGAGGAGCAGTCTGGCACTCACACGCTCTCCGGTAGGGCAAATGGGATGCCATCGCGGGCGGGGTGGGTTATATTGTTGGGAGTTTTCACGCGTTGTTTTATTTTTGTCAACAAGTACCGGGGGCATCAAAAGTTATTGGATAGAATTAAAAGATAATGAAAAATTTTAAGAAAAAATTTGAATGCCCTTCGTATTTGGAATCCTAGTGTGGCAAAAAGTTGCTGTGGTAGTGTAGTGGTTACGTAGGAATCGGGCTGTGAACCACAAGGTAAGCAGTTCGAAACTACCAGCTGTTCCATGGGAGAACGATGAGGCTTTCTGCTCCCTAAATATTTACAGCCTCAGAAACCCTGTGCAGGGTGGCTATGAGTCGGAACTGACTCCATGGCATATAACAACAACAAGTGTGGCAACAATAGTGAGGTTGGCCCAGGATTGGGCAGTGTTTCCTTCTGCTGTGCAAAGGGTCGCTATGAGTCGGTACCGACTCGATGGCACCTAACAACAACAAAGTGTGGTGCTGGAGGATAAGCACTGGACTGCTAACTATAAGATCGGTGGTTCAAATCCACCAACTGCTCTTTGGAAATCCTATATAAGGTCACCATGAGTCGAACTGACTGAATGGCACTTAACAATACATATTTCAGAGACTGAAACTTTAAACCACCTCTAGCGATCCAACTCCATTTATGCACATTCCTCTAGTTGTACAGATGGAGATACAATCCAGGAAAGCGTCGAGGGCTTGACTACCGCCCCTACATACAGTGATGGGGCCAGAACCTTCTGGGGTTTTCCATCTTGTGACCTTCCCAAAGTCCTGGCTGAATTCTACAACTCTGAGGCTCCGTCTTGAGAGTGGGGAATGCTCCGCCCTAGCCAGAAGGAACCTTTTTGTCTGTGACATGTTTTTTAGACCTGAAGGTCAGCGTAAACATTTTCCTAAAGGAGATGGAATAGAATTGTGTTGCTAACAACAGATTAAGTAGACATGACCTTCGAAGGCATAAAATGAGGGGCGAGTGATGCATTTTCCAATTTCTTGACATCACATACATGCAGTACATTTAAAAAAAAAAGTTACCTGTTACCATGGAGTCAATTCAGACATGGTGACGCTGTAGGGAATTGGAAGGTCACCAAGCCACAGTGGATTCAAAGAGTTTCCAAGTCTGGAAGCAGACTGCCTGCTACATCTTTCTTCTGTGAAGCAGCCAGTGAGCCCAAGCTGCTTTGACCTTTTGGAATAACTAAGTTCTCAGGACTCCTCCATACATACATTGTTGTTGTTAGTGCTACTGAATTTGTTCCGACTCTTATCAACCCTGTGTAGGGTTTCTGAAGAGCACTTGGTGGTTTTGAGCTGCCGACCTTGTAGTTCACAGATCAGTGTGTATCCTGCAGTGCCACACCAGGACTCATACATACATTGTTGTTGTTGTTAAATGCTGTCGAGTCATTTGGACTCACAGTGATCTTGCATAGGATTCTCAAGAAGCAGCTGATGAGCTTGAACAGCCCACCTTGCGGTTCAAACCGATGTTGCAGTCCAACTTGAAGCACCACACCTGGTTATTTAAAAAACCCCAAAATCACAGAAATGGAGTACCAAACTCTATGTAATGCTCAAAACCACAACTAGTTTTGATCCTACTGTAAGCTTCTCAGCCAAAGAGCTTGAGAGGAAGATATTGCTCAGCATTAGGGTTCTGCCCTCCAGAGACGTCCTTATTTTTTTCAGAGGTATATACCAAACCATTTTCAGACGAAATATTACAGATGTAGCTGGGATTTGTGTCAAAACATTGGGGGTTAAGGAGTGAATGAAGATGTAGATGAAACAAAATTGGCATGAATTGATCATTTTTGAAGCCAAGTTAGGAGTATATAACAACAAAAATCTACTACTGTCTAGTCCTACTCCTAGTGACCCTATAGGACAGAACAGAACTGTCCCATAGGTTTCCTGGCTGTAGTCTTACTGTGGACCACAAAGTTGGTTTGAACTATAAGGTCAGTGGTTCAAAAATACCAGCCGCTCCTCAGAAACCCTATACAAGGTTGCTATGAGTCGGAACCAACTTGACAGCACTTAACAAAAACAACAGTCTTGGAGCAGATCACCAAGTCTTTTAACTCACTGAGTTGCTGGTTGGGTTTGAATGGCAAACTTTCAGTTTACAACAGAGGACTTAACAACTACACCAGCAGCGCTCAAAGATCTGGGCATTCAATGTGTTTATTGCTCTGGTGGTGTCATTGCTTCTAGCTCTGCCAGGAGATAGAGCTAGAGTACACACACACACACACACACACACATACATACACATATGCAAATATACACACATGCATATACACATATGTTGTTGTTAAGTGCTGTCGAGTCAATTCTGACCCATAGTGACCCTGCATAGATAGGGTTTCCAAGGAGCAACTGGTGAGCTTGAACCAGCAACCTTGCAGTTCAAATGACTTTGCAGTCTGACACATTAGCCCACAGCATCACACCAGGACTCCATATACATATATAGGTGTATGCCTATGTATACACACATGTACTGGGCAGAATCTTCCTTTTAACCAGATGCCTAAATTATTTGCATGCACAGTAAAAGTGGAGAAGCACAAGACAGAAGTACCTAAAGAGGAATGGACTACCCTTGCTGTGGGAAATCATTTATAAATATTGATTCTCTGAGCCTATCTTTTGCTAAGTGTATAATGCACAGCAGTGAGCTGGAAATAATAATTCCTTGGCATTGATTTAAAGTGCAGCTGATCTCTGAATGCCACTAAGTAGTTAAGTGCTGGCTTTTCTTCACAGCTGGCCAAACTGAAGATCATATTGCCATCATCTTATAAAAATTGAGGTGCCTCAATAGAAGACGGTCCCACTTTCAACATAGACCAAGTTAATGAAAAAGTCCACACCATTCTTCTTTGGGTCACAGGCTTACATGCTTGGGGATTTGCTTGCTGCAGTAAATTCAAAACTAGTCCTGAATGAGCCATCCAGACAAGGCCCTAGGAAACAACGGAATGGACCAGAACTTTGAAGAATCTGGAGGGCCCCTGTTAACAAGAGTGTATCTGTGAGGGTTCATTTACATGCACAGAATCCTCCTCCTTGGTTTGTGAAATAATTGGAGGTATTAGGCAGCGTATTGAATCATTGGAAGGACTGAGGACTCAGGGTTTAAACTGAGTTCTCAGAACCTTCCAGGTAGATTCTGGCACGCCCAGGAAAGCCACTAACTCAAGAAGCGGCCACCATTCTCTCAGTGCTGTCCAAACTGGGGACTAATCTGACACCACACCTGGGCTCCAGCTACTACCTTCATCACTATACTTCCAAAAGGGCCCTGAGACTTTCCTCCCCTAAAAAAACAAACCAAAACCTTTTTTTGTCAGTATGAACTCACAGATTCCTTGCTGCTATTACTATTATTTAATGGGATGATGTGTGGGCACTGACTTTGCTCCTGAAGCTGTGTGTGTCAGTTGAGAGAGTGACCATAGATGCAATAAGGTACAGACCATTCCTGTCACCCGTTTTGATGCTCAATTTGTCCCAAATATGCCCATGGGGGCCCCTTTAAGCTAGCTCTTATGCCCCTCTGGCATGCCCCCATCATGTTTCAGCACATACTTTCTAGCACAGAAAGATGTCACAGGCTCTCACCTGTATGTTCTGTGAGTGGTGGTCATTTTTATCACATGGGAGTGGAAAAGCTGGCTCTGCCACAGAGAGAAGACACATTGTGCTGAGCTGGTGCTTGTCCTATGGGATTGGTGCCCACTTGTTTCAAGCCACGGGCCCACTTGTTTCAAGCCACGGGCTCACATCCACCCACCCTGTTCTGGCCCCAACAAGGCATGGGATTGGTAGATGGATTTTCAGGGCTGATGCTCCTCCGTTCTGATTTCCTTGACTTCTGTAGGTGAGATGTGGTCACTGTAGGAAGGTAAGGAGCAGATGTGTCAGGGAGAGGAGGGGGCACTGGCTGGTTATGAGGAGGAATCTCCTCAGCATGGTGCCACTCAACAAGGGATCATAGCCAGACCGGCCATTGGCTGGAGAGTGCAGAAAGAGGTTTAGCCAAACCTGTGCCAGGGCAGTCTGCTGGCTTTGTCCCTCCTTTTAAGCCTTTCTTGACTTAGTCAGCCCCACCCAGCCTTCCTTAGCCATCTCCTCTGAGTTTTCCTCAAAGGTCTGCTTAGTTACTATCTTCTGCATGGGAATTCCTATCCCTGAGCTCCTCAGTCAGAGAGGCTGCTCTCTGAATATCACAGACATGTCTGCCCACACCAAGTACATACACAACTCTAGTTGTTAAGTGCTGTCGAGTCATTTCAGACTCATTGTTGTTGTTAAGTGCTGTCAAGTCATTTCGGACTCATAGCAACCCTGAGGAGCAGCTGGTGAGCTTGAACCACCGACCTTGCTGTTCAAACCAACTTTGTAGTCCAGCGCATTAACCCGCAACATCACTCCAGACTCTGGAATTATAGTGGTCCTAAATAGGGTTTCCAAGGAACGACTGGTGGGTTTGAATCACCAACCTTGTGGTTAGCAATACAGTGCTAACTTACAGCACCACACCACTGCACTGGTCACAGTCAACCTTGTTTTGTGACAAGGAATCGGGGCAGGTGTGTGTGGAGGGATGTCTAACTGCAGGCTATGAGCGCCTGAGGGCAGAGACCCATTGGCTTGTACTCTCTGAGCACTTTGCCCCAATGTGGGCTCAGGAACAAACAGCTTCATGGTGGAGTGGTAAATAGAGTAGG